ACCCGTTCGCCGCGAATGGGAGAACGGCCATAACGACGTTTATTCTCGTCCCGAATGATTCTGCGGCCCACACGACGAATGGTCGCGTCGTGCAATAAGAAGAGGATGAGCCCGCAGAAGAAACGCGACGACGTCACGCTAAGGAAGAAGGTGCTAAACGGGTGACTGCAATCTCTTTGTGGCGTCAATTATTCCAGAAATATAGTTTGAATTAGGCTTTGTCACGCGTCAAAAGTTAGCAGACCGACTGCAGGCAATGATTTACAAATTAAGAATGACTAACGAATTTCGAGAGACAAAAGAATTTCCGGAATTCACAACGCTAGAAACGCACAATTATTGGACGACACACGGGTGGACAATTTTTTCGCCATTTATAAAATTTAAAAAAAATCAGAAAAAATGTTTTTTTTTCACAAGATTACGACGTGCGTTCATTCTTGCCAGACATGTAACGTTTATTCCGACGATTGTTACTCCGAGAACCGCGTCGGAAAAAGAAGAAAGAGGAAAGGTGGCGAGAGACGTAGCCAAGGGATAAAGACGAATGTAATGGAAGCGGCAGCGGACGATAAGAAGAAACAGGCTGCGCAGAAAGAAGGAAGGTGCTAAACGGATGGCGGCGGGACAGAGAGAACGGCGAGAACCATAACGTAATTTTGACAGAAATAACGCCGCCGCGTTTGCCGAGAGACAATAAGTTCGCGACACTCCCGCGGATCTTAGAATAGTTTAGTGTCGGCCGGCTCTTTCCTCTTTCAACTCACTTTCTCCCTTTCTCCCCTTCGCCTCCGTCCTGCCTCCCCGTCCCCCTTATCTCCCACTCTTTCACCGTATTCTCTCCCTTTGTACGAGGTCCCCGCTGATGCTGGCGCCGACATGCGCCCGGCTGGCATTCGGACGCTAGAAATCCATCATTCACGATGATCGCCGCTTGACTTTTATTAATACAAATGATCGATATCGACGGATTCATCTGTTATCGAATATCGAAACATTTTTCTGATTGCACTGACGATAGCACGATATATTCGAAATTTTCATGTACAATATTTTGATATATAAATTTCAATATGTATAATTGACTTGATTTACCGACAGCGATTTTGTAAAATGCACGTTTTATTGTTTTTTTTTTTTTTTTTGTTTTGTTTCGTGCCAATCGTGGCATACTGGAAATAAGATAGAGATACTTACGGGAATTAGCCTTTGTCCGTTCGCCATGCGGCGGGAACGCTCGCCAATTGCCAATCGAGTGCTCCGACATTGATTCTGGGTCATTAAATCACATCTGGTCGGCGGTTCCATACGGGAAGCCATTTTTCCGGAAACAATGTCGCGACGAGGACCATCGAGGAAGGGTTACGAGTCTAACCGGGGGTGAAAGGAGGAGAGCGACGCTGGAGAAGAGGGGACAAGGCCCTGTACTTCATGCCCGTTCACGTATTTCTTTTTTCCGCCGGTATTTAGAACCTCTCGAGAAGAAAAAGCGTTCAATGGGGGTCGCCGCGGCTAAGACGACGAATCGGCGAACGCAGCGGGCACTCCACGCATTATCCAAACACGCAGTTTCGTAGGATACGTTAACCCCTTCGCGCGTCTGTGTGCGCGCGTATATACGCATAAGTACAGAGAGCAAGAGAGAAAGAGAGAGAGAGAGACTGCTACACGTGAGCGATGGAGGCAGCAGCCGTTTTCGGCACGGTACCTCGATGGCTCGTATAAAGGGTTATTCGCTCGGTCCATGGATTAAATGATAAAAAAAGGAGAGCCCCGGCGACCCTGAAATACGGGGTCTTTTCAGGTTCGGGTCTTTTTGAAAATTTTCAACTCCCCTCTCGCCTCCCGGACTGTCGTCCCGCTTCCATCTCTCCTCCCGTTTCGGGCTACCGCTCCCTGCTCTGCGCCACGAGCAGCTTTAAGAACTACATATAAAAGGGTTCCAGCTCAAAGCCGCTGGAGGGAGGGAGCTCCGTCGTCCTGGGGGTTTCACATATTTTTTAAGATTTGCTCTTTAAGCCCTGTCACGTCGCCCTGTACACATGCATACATGAAAGAGTACACTCTTCGTTTGGTGCCACCGATAACTGCGCGACCGCGTGGGTGGTATTCGCCTTTTGTCGTCTCATAAGAGACGAATTCGCTTTACTTTTTTTGCAATGTTTTTTGCAACGCAGTAATTGACGCGATGAGAACGGAATGTGTTCTATCGGATTTAATTTTCCGCGAGTTGAATCTCGAATCGCGCGACTTGAAGTGAATGAAATCGATACGTCTTACTTTTACAAATGATTTCTGCCACTAATAAAATATAACAAACGATAGCAAAAGGATAAAGTTTTCTCTTCCGATAGAATGTAATATTTGAATCGGAACGATAACGTCATTCGTTCTACATTGAGACTGCAAATCGATCCGTATTTTTTTCTCGAAGCGTTTCAAGGCAGTAGCGTGTTTCACTTACGTGCCTTCACGATTCTGGCACGCTTCCCCGTGCATAATTAGGCATCAGCGAAATGTTTGACATTCTTGGATATGGCGGAGGAGTCGGCTGTATGCGCACCATATTCCGAGACAGGCCGCGACTGTTTAATATTTATCCTCTCGATTAATACGACGGCGCGTACGCGGAGACCTTGGCCCGAAGAGGAGCGCTCCTTGATTGCGTACTTGAAACTTCGACCTGGCAAACAACGACGGCGGCAGTCAGCGGATTGTAAATTTGTGCAAACAATAATTTCCCGCGGCGCGAAAGCCAAAGGTTCTCCCCACAGTCCCTCCAAATGAGCCGGTCGCGCGCGAGATACGCGGTATCGCGCGAGAGGTAGCTGCGTTACGTAATTACTCTGCCAAAGGATAAATTAATCGCCGTAACAGAATGTTGCGCAACGGCGCGTAAAACGGGAGCGTATCCGGTGACGCCCGCGCGCTTATTATTAAATCCGCCGGTGTTACTCAATTTCGCCGATCCTATTTGAATGCCGGAGGGAACTTTCGGATTTACGTGGAAATAATGTAGGGCCCCCATCCGAAGGTACGTCCCGCCGTTACAACGCGGGAGAATAATGCGCGCCGAATTCTCCCTCGTCTCTTTTTTCCCTCCCGTAACCTTCGTCCCTCTTTCTTCGCTCCTTCTCTCTTCCTCCCGTTTTCTTCCCTTCCCTTAGCCTCCCTCTTTCTCTGCGGGCCGAACCCTTTCTCTTTTTGTGGCGAGGCGCGCACATACGCTCTCGCAGAAACGCACGGGCGGCCAACGTACGCGCGTCCTCAACGGCACATATACCACCACGGTGGAGCGGGGAGTCCCCGCGAGAGCCCACGAGAAATATTCGACAATTTTTAAACTCGTTCCTGAGCGCACAGGCATTCAAACAAGCGCGCGTCGCAGTCGGCAAGTAGGAATTTCTGAGAATCGATCTCGTCCTGGTGGGGTGCACCGAACGCTGGACAACATGATAGATGCTAGGGTTGAAACGCTCGAGTCCGCAGTCCAGTGAACGCGACGCGCGATTTGTTGCCGTTCCACGATCGAGTCCGATCATCTCGTAAATTAATGAGAGGCAATCGCAGCGTGTCCTTCTTCTCGATTTGCTGATGTAATCTAATTATTGCATAATTATCAGCATAACGCATCTCATCTCGCGCTATTTAACTTCGCCGGCTACAATTTCATCGATACAAAGTATCGATCTTACGTCCGCGAGCAAACATGATCCGGCGCCGTGGAAAAGACGTGTCAGTGCATGGCATTCGAGACATGAGCGCAAATAATAAAATTTAAATACGTCTCGGCAAGAAATGCAAATGCGAAACCGCTCGAGAGCGCTTTAACTGTGGAATCGTTCGTTTAGGCAAAAAAAAAAGGGGAACGGCGTGTTGCGCGCACAGCTTATTTCCATCTCTCGTGCGCGCATTACCTCGGGAGATAATTATCGCGAGCGAGGATTGGTCAACCGAATTGCGTCTCTCGCGCTCAATATTTTCTTGCGTGCCGCGGTCGTTCCGAGCTCCTTTTAGGAGTGCTATGAAACGCGCTCGACGAGGTAAATGCTTACGCGCCTCCGCCTCGCCCGCGGCCACTCCGCGCTTTTTGCATACGCGTATTGCGATCGGCCCGATAGTTTTTTACTCCAACCATTCTTCTTTCCTCGCCCCGCTTTTTTTTTCCTCCTCGTCCTCTTTTATTTCGGCGGCGCGCCCGCGCCCGGACAACCAGTTTTCGGACGCGCGGGAGAAGTACCATAGGTCGACGAACGGTGCGTTCATAATTCTCGGTATGTGTATCAGTCGTCCTGGCATTCGTCTCCTCTGGTGAACGCGAACCGTATCATCCGGAATGATATTACCCGGAACAGGCGGTCGGTAAAATAAGATGGTTCTGACTCCGGCTTTCATTCCGGAGGGATGTGTATCGGAGGACGGAGAACCACAGAGAACCGACGTACCGACCGACTGTATCCGGAACGTGCGTAGAACTCTACGGTGCAGAGTTCTAGGGCAGTTTGTGATCCGCCGAGATCTTACCGATCTTTCAATTTAATGTTCGACGCGAGTCTCGAACTTTTGACATTTGTTTCCATCAACGAATATTTTATTAACTGTATCGAATTAAAATTGCGTGATATTTATTTCAAATTCAATTCAATACGATTTTTCTATCAATAAAATCTCAATTATTTTTTATTCTTAATGTGAAATATTATTTTTGCAAAATATATATATTAATTGTCGCTAGTAGATTAAAGCTTGCTTTAGACGATCTATAATTGGCGATGGAATTCTAGGTAGAATTATCTATAATTTTGTACAACTGAAAATATTTATGAAAAATCGCACATACGTGATGCATATTGCTAATTTATTCCATATATAATTTTCTGATTTTTTGAAATTTAACGATTAGAGCAATTTAAATATAAAAATTAAATGTGAAAATATTTTAAATATAATTTTTTTTTTTTGCACCGTGAGTTTAGATCAAATTTTTTTATTTGTTGCAGCCTTGATCAGGCAGAGTATGTCTCCGGTGGCAGATACTTTAATGAGCGGTTCCAAGACGCCGGTGTCACAGCCGATCATTGATTACTCTCGATACGTGAGGAGGTTTACATCCGGTCAAGAATGCGGCAGTACGTATTGCAAGGAATTGGGCTGCAGAGAACATTTTCATTGTTTGGACTGTAGCGGTAGGGTGTTCGTGAAAAAGGAGGAAATGATCAGGCACTTCAAGTGGCATAAGAAAAGAGACGAATCGTTGCAGCACGGTTTCATGAGATACTCGCCGACGGACGATTGCTCGGAAAAGCATCCCGGTCGAACCTGTCCGCACAATGGAAAGCAAACTCATTATCATTGCATTCACGAGAATTGCGACAAAGTGTATATATCAACATCGGACGTACAGATGCACGCGAATTATCATCGCAAGGACTCGGCTATCATACAGGAGGGCTTCCAGCGATTTCGGGCTACCGAGAGTTGCGCGACCGACCATTGTCCGTTCGTCGGTCAACGGACCACGCACTTTCACTGTCGGCGAGCGGGATGTCGGTTCACGTTCAAAAATAAGGCCGATATGGGTAAGGATTGACGATTAATGTTCGCATGATTAATGTTCGTTCGCTCTAGGTCCAAGCTGCCGTTAATCAAAGCCTTTCAAAGGAGATTTCAAATGCCATACAGTTCGGTGTTAATCTTTCACGCTTGAAATGATTCCGCTGATAAACTTTTTGACATTTTCTTAATGAATTTTAATGTGTTGCCCCTCCCCGTTTTAGATCTTCGCGATTTTATCGACAGGTTCTCCTTATTTTCTTTTCTAGACAAGCACAAATCTTATCACATCAAAGACGAGCAATTGTCGCGCGACGGTTTCAAGAAGTTCATGAAATCGGAGGACTGTCCCTTCGATCAGTGTCGTTTTTCCCGAGTTTGCAATCACATTCACTGTATACGGCCGCACTGCAGCTACGTGCTGCACTCCTCCGGTCAGCTCTTCTCGCACAAGCGGAAACACGAGCGTCACGAGTCGGAGCTGGCTTACCGGAAGTACAAGCAGGTCAGCGCCATAGGCGGTGCTCGTCCGCCGGGATCGTGGGCGCCGGACGAACTGAGCGCCCAGAGCTTGTCCTTAAGTTTGAACGGCGAGAGCTCGAACGAAGATAGGGGCTCGCCGTCGTACTATTCCCTGGAGGATTCCTTCCAGAGCGCGAGCGACCTCGCCATAGACCTTACCGCCCCGACCACCACGATCGCGGCCAGCGCGAGTTCCGCCAGCCTCGATCAGCAGCACCATCAGCAGTCTCAGCAACTCACCACCGCCGAACTGGCCTATCTGGTGCCGGCCACGTCGGACTGCGCTTGCAACACGAGCAGAGAGCATCATCACTGCGGATTGGACCGCTGCGGGGCCACCTTGAAGGATCCTCGCGAGGTCCGGGAACACCTGAAAGAACACGAGACGCAGGAACGTATCACGGACGCCTTCTTCGAGGAGGGCGGCTGCGACGACAATTGTCTGTGGGCCGACAAGGAGAAACATTATCATTGCAATTGGGAGAACTGTCGGGAGGTGATACTCTCCACCGACAAGCCGTTCCGCAGATTGCAGCATTACAAGATACACGAGTACAGCCGGCAGTTGAATCTCTCCTGTCCCTCGCACTCCCTCTCCCCCGACGTCACGCTGACTCATCTGACGAATATCGAGGCGATGTTTAGGCGGAAGCGCGGTAGACCGCCGAAAAATCGGGTCATAGAAATCTGGTCGGGCGGCGACTCCGCCACGCACACTCACGATTCGCCGCAGGCGATTTTCACGAGTTTTAAACTGCCGAAGCCGCAGACGCCGAATTTAACGTCGAGTCTGCTGACGGAAGAGCGAGAGGGTAGCGTGTCGCCGTCCAACAGTCTGGGCGAGCCCGAAGGTTTCGCCACGTACAATCCGGAAGGATGTCCGGACGTCGTCTGCGTTTTCAGATCAACCAGGCATCATCATTGTTCGCAGCCGCGATGCTACTTCTCCACCGACAGGCCGGACCAGCTGCTCATGCACAGCAAGGACTTCCACGACAACGTCGACATCCCGCCGGGCTTTGCATTCTACGACAAGATGGTCGACTGCCGGCTGAGCGGCTGCCACAGCAATCGCGCCAATCGGCACTTCCATTGCACGAGACCGAACTGCGGATACTCGTTCGTTAGGTACTCGATGATGGCGTTGCACGAGAAGCAGCACTCCGGTCACGCTGAGTCTTGCACTCAAGAATCGAACAATCAGGAATGCCAGACGCAGCCGCAGTCGTTGGTTCAGGAAACGAAACCCAGAATTCAAGTGAAGAATCCCGCCGAGCTGATCGACAAGCCTGACGACAACTTGATGGCGATCGATCAGGATAACAGGTTGATGATTGAGGATAAGGAATCCGAGCTCGCGAGTCCCGATAGCGGCAAGACCACCGGTAAGTATGGCAGAAGAGCGCGCGGATCCGTGCGATCTCTTAATCTCGTGGGCAAGTTTTTTCGTTTGGTAGTGATTTTTTTTTTAACACAACAGAAACTCTCCTCCACTCGAGTACATATGCATGCTTCTCTGCACGTAGTCGCGCACAAACGTACACGTCGTGTCACACACTTTGCATTCGTCGTTGAAGTAGAACATTCTTCGCTATTCCTCCGTTGTTTGTCACGTCTCATGAGACTGTTTGTTACCTTTTTTTACGTACATTTTATTTTTTTCTCGATGTATATACACTGTACACACGGTGATTGTTGCTCATAGCGGGCGGTATATTTGAAGTGTTGGTTGTTTGGTTGATTGTTGCTAGTGGTGAGGGCGGCTGGCACCTATTATCCGGTCAGCGGACCGCCGAGCGAACCCGCACTTCCGGGCGTCGTGCTATCCATGCGAACTTCCGTGCACCAAGGTTCGTCTCTTTTCTGGACCAAGTTTTGTGCTTTTGAGAGTGTTCCCGTATTAGTAAAATTAGTTTTCTTTTCGTTTCTTCGCACACGCCGGATCTGCGATTTAGACTCAGATAAATCTCCGACTTTGCAGAATCGCCGGTCATGCCGTCGATCAGCTCCACCTCGCCGCACACTCTCTACGGACCGGAGCAGAGCTGCAGCAGGCCGTTCTGCAAACTGAAACGCAAGAATCATTATCACTGCAATGCGTGCAATCAGGCGTTCTCCGAGCTGGATCGCCTGGTCGCCCATATAGCGAAGCACTCGACTGGCGCCATCCTCAGCCAGCAGCAGCACGACATGGTCAGCCCGTCGCCCAATCAGCTGCAGCACGATTACATCGCGCAGCTGTCGCAGAAGCACGACTTCATGTCGCCGAACGCTCAGATGGCTCAGAACATTCAGAACTTTCAAAATCACATGCAGCGGCAGATACAGCAGAGCCTCGGCCAGCAGCCGCAGTCCAAGGACATTAAATTGGAGAAACCGAGATGCAGCACCGACATCGGCGTGCAAAATGTCCCGAACATCAAGCGGGAGCCTGGCGAGATTATCATCAAGGACGAGGGTAACAATTCCACGGTGGACAGTCACGAAAACGGGCAGCTGCCGCAACCGCTGATCCAGCCTGCGAGCGTGCAACAGCCTGCGGTGCCGACCAGCTTCGAGCTTGATCTCAGTCACGGTTTTCACTTTCCGAGCCCGGCCGTGATGGCCGCGATGAATCAACAGATCGCCCTGATGAATCAGGCTCTGCCGCCGTTTCTTCAGCACGGCGGAATGTACGCCGGCGCACCCGGGCTGATGTTCGCGCCCGGTTTGCCGCCGACGAATTTTCTGCCACCCACGAGAGACGAGAATCCCCTGGCTTCGTTGGCAGCTAATCTTAATCTAAACAGAAAGCGATCCCTCTCGCCGTCGGACGCTAATTCGCCGGAAGCCAAGAAGCAAAGACTTCATCACTCGATGCGTATGCTGAAGGACGAGCCGGTGCCGGAGGGATACGTCAGGTTCGTTTCGCCGCTCTCATAATTGTTTTGCAGATAAAAAGGAAATTTTTGAAATTTAATTTAACTTTACCGCTGCAGGTTCAGGTTCAACGAGGATTGCAGGTATCCTCATTGCGGCTACAGAGAGCATCAGACTCACTTCCACTGCATGCGCCAGGACTGCGGCTACTCGTTCTGCGACAAAACGCGTTTCGTGCAGCATACCGCGAGACACGAGCGCCTGGACACCTTGATGGGTGGCGACTTCCAGCAGTATCGCGCCAATGTGCCCTGCGGCAGAGCTCAGTGCGCTTACACGTCGTCCCTCGGATCGATGCAGAACAAGGCGTCGCATTTTCATTGTTTGAAGTGCGACTTCGTCTGCACGGACACGAACAAGGTAGTCGCCCATCGACGGCAGCACGCTAAGCTGGACAGCATCGCGGCGGCCGGTTTCCAAAAGTTCACACCCAGTCAACCCTGCGGAGCCGTGCAGTGCCAGCATTCCGGCAAGCAGACGCATTATCATTGCCTGCAGTGTCAGTACGCGGTGCTGGGTCTTGCGCAGATGTCGGCGCACAAGTACCGGCACATGGACTCCTAACGATCTCCCGTACAAGTCCTGCGACAGGACGCCCGAGTAAAGCATTACCTTGATCCCTGTAGACATTCCCTAGAGAGAATGGCACGGCCATCTTCCCCCGACTAGGTGGAAAATCGAGCGAAACCGGTAGTAGGGGCTAGTCAACGACGATTCGTCTCGATTCGATGCCCACCGTCAATAATAATTGTCCCACGAGCAAGAAGGTCGAAACGGTCATCCGCGGAATTCCGCGCGCGCGCGCGGAAGTGGCCCGTAAAAGACAAATTCCTAGTCCCTATAGACATTCCCCGAAAAATCACTCGAGTCCCTCGGTCGTGCGCGATCGAGCGACGTTTTCTGGTAACGTGGATGATCAGTAGGTAAAACCGGTAAGGGGGCTAGTCAGTAACGTTTATCTTCGGAATGAGTACTAATAGATCGAAATCTTCAAGTCAGAGTACGTCCGGTATTTGCGATTAAGTCGAGCGAACGTTGACAGGCAACTCGGTCTCCTCCGTACTTAGAGTCTGAGCAGTCATGTGAATCGACGATAATACGATCGCGTTATCGAGCAGTCTTTCCAAGCTCTAGAAACGCTTTCAACTGTAAACGAGACGGAACTTTGATAAATTTATTCGAGAATTACAAGGTTTATACATGGTCGAATCTCAGAATATAATTTTACCATGCCTGGTCGGGAACGTAAACGAGAAGCGTGAGAATGTGGCGTAGCACCTAAGACAATAATACGAAGACAAGCCTATAACATAGCTTTAGCACGGAAAAAGACAAACTATAATATTTAATAGGAGAAAAAAAGAGACCCTGTACATTTTTTCCCTTTCTTAGTATCGTCCTGTGTACCCTCCGCGTGAATAGTCCTCACGATGATTTAGACTCTAGATCTTAGAATAGTATAATGCGTTGTTGGAATAAATGCGTTAATGGAATAAAACTTCGAAGGAAAAATAATATTGAACAAAATGTCAAGTCGGCGATATGATAATCCGCAGTTAGAATTTTTTACGTGCTGCCAGACAGCGCGGATCAACGCGGTCTTTCACTTCGGCACCGAGAATGAAGAAGCGAGGGGAAGATATCGTCTTCCTATCGTCTAGACACTTGAGAACTGCGAAGTTAAAAATCGTTTGTTGCGTTATGCCGATGATTTTTCCATTGCACAATTGATAAACAAGAGAAGACTTATAATACAGATATAAAAATTTCCGTGAGACTTTTTATCTGTTTATCTCAAATTACATAAAATCTTGAATTTCCCGCAACAATTGCTTTGTATGCGTTATTCCGTATAATAATTATAAATTATTTGCGTAAATGGTAATTGATTGTGCAATGATGATTCATTGAACTTTGAAAATGCTGCAACATAAAAAGAAATTACACATTCTTCGGGATAGATTACGTTCTGGAGGGTACGCGGTGTGAATATTACGAACAGTATTGATAAACTGAGAGTTAAGTAGAAAGACTGTGAGCCGAGACAAGAGCGGAGAAACAGAATAAGACAGAGCGACGATCGTTGAACGATCAAGTTAAAAAAACGGAGAAAATTAAAAAATTGGAGGTAGACGTTAAATTATATGTATATGTACGGAAAGAGAAAAAGTATATTCAAAATATATTCTAAAAAGCGGTCAGTGATCGACATAACGCAAAGTTTAATATATGTTTGTATAGTATATATGTATTGTGATTGGTACGAATTCTACGGAGGAACAGATTTCTTGCGTTTCAATTTCTAAAGCACGCTCAACGATGGTACGATTCTGTCCAATTTCATTTTACGCAAAGTTTATTTTTGCGGATATTCTCGTCGTATACTCCTCGTCGAATTAAGAGTATCAATAAGAATAAAAATTTGTTTTACAAACAATAATGGAAATAAGACTAATTCGAGTCGAATCGCGATTGTATGCGGCCATGTTGTTTGCGTTTACAATTTTTATTTATTTACGGAGTATTTTAATCTATATATTAAATTATTTTAAATTAATTAATTAAATTTACCGCCTGACTTAATAACGATAGCAAAGACTAGAAATTATAATAATTTAAATAATTAATTAACACAAATAAATTGAATTGTAATATTAAAAAATTGTTTGTTATTGTTGCTAAATCAGGTTACACTAGCCGACTCGATTAATGAGTTGAATATGACTCAAATTACGGATTGAAACATTTTGTAAAATTTTTACTAATTAAACAAACAAGATTTGTGTGTAAACGCATACAACATCTGCGATGTGACTCGAATTAGTCTTTTATTCTGAATTAAAAGCATGTCCGCTTTTTTCATTTTCAAATACAATTTCAGAAAATGGAATAAAAAATACAGAAATAATTTGGTTAGTAATTAATTTGTCTTATCTTTGGAACAAAGTACAGTTTCTTTTTGTATAAAAAATGACGGTAAAAGATAACGAAACCGGATGAACGATAAGAAGTATCCGGAGGCGTATGTTCTTATTTGGCGACCAGAAGAAACGCATGCATGCATATTTTCTCGGCAGACAATTAAACGAAAAATATTACTCGGCGAAAGACGCGCTAGGGTGCCTTTAGGATCTTTTCCAAACTTTCGTAGGACCGTGCCTTAGCGACTTAACGTACAACGGATACGCAGGAAGCTATTTGTTCAATGTAGCAGCAGAGGAAGTGAACCGAATCGACGATCAGATCACTTATTTGTAGCTATGATCGAATTTCGGAGCAGAATATCGCAATTGCAATTGATCATGTTTAGAAAGACGGATTGACCGAAGACTGAACGCCAATTTCGAAATAAAAATAACAGATTCCTAATGTGATCATTGTTTTCGATGATCATGCCGTGCGGTTCCTGAAATCAAATTCTTTCTCAGATTCATTTAATCGACTGACCGGAAGACGATCGTAGATTTAGCAACTGGAAGACGTTAGTGCCTTAAAGATACGTCAACTAGATGAAACTCCGCGAAGTTATAGTCGCCGATATTTAGATGGCAATTTTAACGTTTTTACATTTTTTACAAAACAATCTACAACTTATTTAAAAAATTTACTTAATTTGTACAATTTATCGTCGTCGAGAACTTCCCTGATTCTCCATAAAACTAGATTCCCGACAAACATGTTGACATGCAAACGTCTTGCGAAAAGTTTTTTTTAGAGTTGTGGTCTACAAAACTTGTTGATGGAAAATCTACTTTGGTTCTACACATTGCAATTAATATTTCTTGCAAAATGAAGAAAAATCTCGTAATGTTGCATCAGGTAGAAAAAAAAATTATTTACCATAAATATTTACGTTTTATGTCACGATTATTATGTCATCACAACCCAAACGTGTCCGCTCTCAATTAAGATATCGCCGTAAACTTATATTTTTTTTTGTTATCACGTTAAGCGATAATGATTGTCAGTCACTGCTCTTCTAATTTACATTGTAGACATTGGTCGGCCATAAATTTGAAATCACAAAAAGATATCGTCGCAACAGACACATACCCGTCATATACCCGAGAAAGATGTAAATAATTTCTCAAATAAACAAAATCTCGTAAAGTGTTACACATATCGAAAGTCCTGTAATAAATAGTCATATTTTATCGTCGAAAATGTGTCCTGTTTCTGCAGATCAACTCTGTAGCATTAACTGTGAAGTAAACAAGATAGCTTATACAAGTTGTGTATAAAAGTAACATTTTAAGTAGTAACGAAAAAAACTGTTTGTATTAATTAAACATGTCTCATCCACGTGATTCGTAATCGTGAAGTCATTAAATTTTGGAGACGATAAATAGAAATCAAAGTTCATAAAAAATTTTACAAAATTATATTTCAGTAGTCATACTTAGTCTTTACAATTTTTCACGTCACAGCTAAACTCATATATAGGTGAATTGAAACGATGGACCTAACGAGACCGAGATTACATTTAATTCGATCGGTCGATTAGATCCCTTGGAAGCGAGCCGGGGATGGACTCGAGTAATGTTCTTATAATTTTTCTTAAATATTACAATAGTAGCATTCCATAGCGAGTCAATAGTCATCGATCCTGTCCACGTCGACGGTGCATCGTTCTTACGCGGCAGTTTATAAAAAAAAAAAATCGCGAAGAGAGTTCGTCGATCTCGCAGTATCGCGTGTCGCTTCGGCGATGTAATGCGATATCGAAGCGGATACCAACCCCAGAAACAGAAGAAGAAAACGAAAACGCGAAGCCGAGGATATCATTCGCATCAAGAACGTGGGGAGGCTAAGAGTCCAGCCATTAAACGAGTGCCATAAAATCACGTTGTACGAAGTACAGTTTTACTATGTTAAGTCGAGAGACACTTGCGGGACTATGGAAGATTAGGCATGTGGTCATTAGACAAATCTGTATAATATTTATTTAGCGTATAGAATCGACGGATGCGTGAAAAAGTAAGAAACGAATAAAGAAAGCGGAAGGAATGATCGAATGAGAATGAAAAATTCACCTGCTTGAAGTGTAATTGAACGTAGAGCGACAGAGAAAGAAAGAGAGAGAGAGAGAGAGAGAGTTATTGGCAACGATGTGTATGGTGTTTGCCTTATAAATATCGAAAACCCCCTATTATATATAATATATATAATTTATGAGAATTATTATATATATTATTATATAATATGAAATATATATATATATACGTGGTTATCGTTTAAAAATGACGACGGAAGTAAAGCGAAGGAGTCGTATACCAGTAGAGAGCGTACTATTATTTGAGGAAACTAGAGAGATTCTATCGTATGATCGTTAGTATTAAAATATCAGCTGTATGGAACTAAGAAAGAAGAAAACTATTACCTAATTTTATCTATCATTATTATATTATTATTACTGTTTTATTTTGCCGGTCAGGCCCGTCCTGTAGCCTTCGAACTTATAGAGCGGGTGTGCAGGCATTACACTGTGTATTATTCTCTATTATTATTATTTTTATTATTATTATATGAAAAATTTGCCCGTCCAGGTCTGCTCTGTAGCTTTCGAATCTACGGGGCAGGCGTGTGGGCGCTATTATTATTATTATTTTATTATTATTATATTAATAATTATAAAACTACATCTTATGTAGCTGTGATTTTGCTTTCAAAAAGTAAAAATTAAAAATATTTATAGCAACTGAAATAATACGCTTATATATTTCCACTCGGCCGACCCTTTTAATCTGCAAGTGTTATAGTTCTTATCATATCGCTTCGGTTTTCATGACGTAATCTAATAGAAATTAATTGGACAAAAAGTTTGTATCTCAGATATTGTTTATCAGCTCCACGGTTCTTATTCAGCGTTTCTGCAAGGTAACAGGAATCTTATTTCGACGTGTAGTATTTGACGTTGCACATTCAAACGCGCTAAAATTTTTGCGCCTAGTCTTCCAGAGAACGCTCGATGTAATCGCGATATTGCATTAAACGGAAATCATTCATTATACATATATATATTTGTATGTTTTGCGTAAAAAACACACATTTGCATAATATACACCGATAATTGCACACAGAATAAAAAAAGTAATAATATCAAAATAAATGAGTATTGAGGATTGATAAACAAAGAGGTTTCCAAAAAAACCTATTTTATTTTCACTTTCTCTCGGTCAATGCCTTGACCGACGAATACAAGTTCAATTAAGAAATACAAGAGAAAAAGTGAGGAAACGAGTTTTATTAAATATTCATAAAAATTTGTATTTACTAAAAATAGGATGGAGCCTTTTAATGTTAAATTCATACACATTGCAAATTTATCGTTCTAATTAATATTACGCGGGTTCAGAAAGTTCGTTCGGATAAAGATCAAGGCTGACATTAAATTTAAATAACTATTAAAATAAAATTAAAATTTTGATCTCTGACAATATATATACATATAAAGTTCAGGTTTCCTATTTTTTTAAGATAATAAATTATTGGGTTTTTTTCCTACGCAAACAATGTTTACATTTTTAGTCATGCATAGTTTTATAATTAATTATATTGTTGTCGTCGGAAGAAATAAGAAACGCAGTAGCGTCTCGCGCTAAGAAAATATATGGGATATTCTAAATCCTCTAATCATTATCTGTAAATTGCAGTTAGGAGATAAAGCACTATCACTTTAAACTAAATTCCAAATAATTGAACAAACCGTAATTTTACCATAAAGTAAAAGTCATTTTTCTGTTTATGTCTCGCGTTTCACGTTTAAACATTCTGCTCTTATGATAGCTATGTCAATGAAATATGCGATAGCGTAAAACGATGGACAAAAGAAGAGAAAAGAAGAGAAAAGAAGCAATAGATAGAAGAGAAAAACCAGACGTATATGCAGGGACAGTATTGCTGGACGTATGTCATCTTATCAGTTTTTCGGCTCACGTCCGCAACGACGTGATTCCATCGCGACTTTTTTATTTGCTGCTCAGCATATATAGCATGTATATTGCATATATATTGCAATTTACTTTGATTCTAACGTCAAAAGAATTGAGCGTCAATTTTATCTATTGTGAACGAAGAATGTATTATAACGAGATTTCAAATTAAGTGTCACGCCGCATCGTAGTGCAAACGTAATCAATTCTGACTTCGCGAAACGTCGCGAGTGTAGCGTGGATTGAGAGAATTCACGACAAGCGTAGTGAACGAACAAATTGGTAATCAATGATACCGCGATTAAATCCATTATTTTGTAATTATAAATTGAAAAATCAATAAATATCACATTGACATACACGATTTTGTATAAAAAAATTTAATTATTATTTTTATCTTGCCATAATTTATAGAGAAAGAAAGAGAAAGAGTAAATCTAAACAGAAAGCTACATTAATAATTTATTCTTATAATAGTAATATAAATTTCCACAAATGATGAGCAAAAATAAAACATTTAACTGGTTTTCCATCACTGATATAAGCAGAATTAATGAATTAATTAATAATGCATGTTCTGAAGCTTGCATTGAGTTTGCATTGCAATAAAAATTTTCTTTTTATAAAACGATAAACATCATTTATTGAGACAAAGATGATGACGTAATAATATACCAAAATACAAGTGTAAAACTGAAAACAAAAAATTCATTGATACCTGTGGGAAGAAGATTGTTGAACACATGTGCGGATAAGAATTTCCCGTGCACGTGATCCTCTCGTGACAGAAACGGACGCTCAATGGGGTTGACCATATAGACGCACGTGATGCGAGCGTGATCTTTATATATTCCTGTAGTTTACCCTTGTTACTCCTATCACAAAGGAAAAAAAAAAGAATGGCCTGTAATTTTTCACATCTCAAATTCTTCAAATTATTATTTCGTTTATCTGCAGAAATTTTTGTCTATATTGCCAAATAATTTTAACAATAATAAGTCCAAAAATTATTTTAATAAAAATTTTATTAAGCTTATATGCATTCGAGGAAGAAATATGCGAAAATTGATAAGTAATTTTTTAACGCAGCATAGGAGAAGCTTGCATGGATAAATTACCAAATTTGTATTAATAAAGAATTCGTTTACATTTGCTTTCATACACTAAACTTGATTAGAGATTAAAAATTACAATAAATTTGTCAATAAATTAAATTGCAGTAAATTCGATTAAAAATTGTTCATTTATCAGTTTTCTCCAAACTGATTGTGAGTTTTAAGTATACCATTTACATAAGTTTATATCATTTTTAGCACTTCGTTCTTGACATCTTGAATGTCAATAAAGATGTTAGCTGCGTTTAGTTGCACGTGCTGAGCACGACCAGCTAATTGCGATAATTCGATATTTATTTGCACATGAGTGGATTTTATAAAAGTGCAGGCACACAAGTAAAAGAAATCAAAAAGAATTGTCGATGGCATCTGCGTTATATTTGCGCAGTGATCGGTGGCGTCTGCCAGAGCAGACTCGGAGAAGCGACAAAAAAAAGAGTAAAATGACGGGTACAGAAATAGAGCATTGCAAAACGAGTTTGTAGAGAATAATCGAACATGAACAAAGAGCGTGGTCCGTTCATCTTGCATAAAAATAAATTTTTATAAGAAAAAAGTAGTTTTACAATGTAATACGAGGTAGCAAAATGTAAAAATTTATATTGTTTGATTGTTTATTTTGTTAATTTTGCCGTGGAAATGAGTTGATAGAAGATCCAAAATTTATTAACAAATATCTTGCAATTGAAGAAGATTCTTAAAAATTTGAATTTTTTTCAAATGTATTTGGCTATTTTTAACTCGATGCTTTTAGAACAGAAAATATATATGTTTTCAATATCTGATAAAGAGTTACTTCAAACAAAAGGTATACAACATATTTTTAACTTATTATCTATTTATGGCACTCATCTGGAATCACAAAATATTTCGCATTAATACGTATTTATAACAAACTACGCAGTTCGAAACGGTTCACAGAATATGAACAAATTAAAATGACTAATTCACAAACAAATGTGCTGTTTCATTAAAGAAATGTGTTTACTTTCAAGATTAATTGTGAACAAAATTTTAAAAAGTAATTAATGGGCACATAAATTTGCAAGCATTTGAATATATGACGAATTCGAAGCTTTGTTGCGTCATTTCCACGATATTTTAATCGTTTCCGTAATAATTTTCAAGCTTATCGATACGATTACATTTATAAGTAATATCTAAAGAAGAATGTGCTACGCAACTATGTACATATATAAAAGTACAATGTTGAATAAAAGATACACGTAAAGTTACTGCTATCTGCACATTTAACGCGGCGGAAAATTTTCACATCGGTGCGCGGCGCGGCACGTTTGGGGCGTCGGTCAAAGATTGAACGATAAAAAAGGAACAAGACATCTACACATTAAGATAACGCAACATTGTTTTGTCTACCCTGTGAAATGACCTGGATCTCTCTTCGCTAAATACTCATTGGTAAATACGCAATGTGTCATGCACACACCGTGTGTTCGGCAACCTTGAAACTGATATATATGTAAATGAGAAAAAAGCAGTTTAAAAGTCTATATATATCTACGAATTTTGCTGCCAATACTGTTTGCCAGTGATATCATTATCATAGCATACGCTGCAAATTGCAAAACTGTCATCTGTCTTCGTAACCATGTGTTTTCTACATGCACCAGAGTGAAATTGATACAGTGATATCCTTCGACGAGAAAAATGCCTCCGGGTCTTCGCGGTCTTCGATACCGGGGGCTAGTTTTATTTCAAAGAGATTTTTTCACCTGTTTTCTAATTTGAAGTATCTATATTAGATTACAAAGCATAAAATGATTGATAACTTCGTACTTTGAGCGACAGGCACCATTGCTTGCTAAATGACCTCCCAATATATTTGCGTCGAGATACTGAATGTACTTTGTCGCCAATTACATTTTATCATTATGCAACTTTTTAGTAGTTACATGAATACGCTGACCTCAGTTTAAGTAAAATATATTTTTTCATCAGAGTTGCGTAAAACTGCGATTTCTTTTACAAAAATGAGTCATTCATATATTTATTATGTACATCTTAAAACAGTCAATGAATAGTTTAAAAAGGTTTAAACAAATAATTTCAAAGTATTGTTTTAGCATTAATTTGACCGAAGGCAGCAAAAAATTTGAATGAGTCAAAAGTCATCAAACTGTGCGTCATTGATTTCTTTAAATTTCAAATTTCCAGTTTTATTTTGCCTGAATTTTCAATGGCGCGAGAATTCTCGTCAATAAGTATAATTCCGCGGATAATTCCGCACGGATATTAATCAAACTGGGAACGAAAAAAATTGACAATACGGAGGTCGAAGGGCGTGCGTGCGTGCGTCTACGTGATGAGGCACGCGTTTCTCCGCGTCGATGACCCTTTTCCTCTTTTTCGATGTTCGTGCGGGAATATCTGGACTGTCGGGGTTGGCGGTATCGACCAATCCGCCGTCGGTCCCGATGGAAATTTTTGTTCGGACTGGTTCAGAGAATCCACGTCACTGGTCATGGTCATGGATCCGAAGGCAGTGGAGGTGGAGAGCGGTACATAGTCACCAGCCGCCTCGGCCGAAGCCGGTTTAGTAGCGTAACGAAGAAGCACCGCGACACATCGTACTCCATTCAGCGGCGGTAGCAACGGTTCTTCCAGCAGCGTGGTTGTATTGATCGTGGAAGTTCGTCGGCAAGCGCGACACGAAGGATGGGCATATTTCGTGAATTTCCCATTGTCTTCAATCTCTACAAGAAGCACAGATAGTTCGCGGGCAATCGCCGCGAATCACTCGTATGAGACAGGTGAATCTTTCTGCGGCTGGGAAACGCACATCGCTGACATAAACACTGAGGTGAGCATTCGTTACCAAGCAAGATTACCTGCATTTATATCGAGACATACAAACCTTGTTCTTTCTTCATGAAATTTCTGCTCTAATAATTTGACGCAGCACGTCGCTCTAATCAATATTAACACTTTCGCGACCGTTGTATATTCGGTTCTGCTCTCAACGCTTGGACAGCCGCTCTATTATATTGAAGCTTATGTCAAATCCGACATATTACACGATATAATAAAATAATGCAGTAAACAGTAAATTTAAAATTATGTGACTAACTCCTGACTCATACCGAAGTACAAACGCAAAAATATCAAACCAAGTTCCTGACTCATGCCAAAATATAAACGCAAAGATACGTGAGCAGCCGCATAAGTGTTTCAAACAGGGTCGATCGAAACTGCGCTTCACGTCAATAATCCACCGTAGACAAACGTTTACACAGCGTATCACGGTTCTTCATTTAGTGGTGTAACAACACATCTAAACGTTCTTATCGTGATTCAAAGTTATAAGCGCCAGAGGAAATGATAACACACTGCGCGTCGGTTGGTTGTTGCGTTTTGCTACCAACTTTGCAGTTTACATGCATATCACTTGCTGTTCACGTGCTACGATTTATCTCGTGTGTGTTTTAGCAAACATCTATTTATCATTTGACATTTATGACTGTTTCTTGGCACGAAATGCTTCTAATTGGATTTTTGGGATTCTACGAGATTATCGAACGAGATTCCTGCAGAAAGAGATTCCTAATGAAAGAGACAATAAAATTTGCATGACTGGAAGATCAACAAACTATGTTTCTTTTACATTCTGTAGTTTATTTTTCTATTTTTATTTTGCTACATTGCCCAAGTTTTCGGCGACGTAAAAAACCTGTTTCTCTCTCTCATAAAGTATTCAATAATTCTGTGCGAATTTATTAATCAAAGTAGAGATCAAATCTCGGCGTAGGCTAATCGACTAAATTACCCAAGCTTTACAGTGCTACGAATTCACTTTGTCAACGAGCAAGAGGGTTCTGCGCATATATCAATACTCGCTGACTTGCCTCATTGAGAATACGCGCAATTGCAAAATAACTCACTAACTGAAAATAACATCGCGACAAATATTTCTCTAGTTCCTTCTTAATTAGCCACTACAAGACATTCGAAATGCCGTCTGTTTTGTTCGAAAAATTTATTACTTGATTAAAATCCGCCACATCAGTCGCATCAGCAAATATATAAGATAAATATAGTAGATATGAATTTTAATTAACTAATTTTAAGATGTTTGTATAAAGCTTCAAGAGATAATTGTAGGATTTTGTGGTAAATAACCAGTAGTCGAAGACTATAATTAGACACAGTTCATCAAACAATTCTAAGAAAAAAAGGTTTATAATCAGGCAACGTGAATGTTGCGATTGCTAAGCCACGCGAAACTTTAGCGATCAACGGGTTAATCTCGGGTCGACAGGGCTATCGAGTTATGACGCTTTTTTTTTACGCACGCAACTTCGACAGCGCGAATGACGAAGATTTTTCAGTACTGGCTGAAACGCTCACTGGTGAACTCCGTCAAAAGTTCCCGTTGCCGAAAACAATTGGTAATCAACTGGTTTTTCCACCAGTTAATTCAATCCGGTTTGAAGAAATCAAAATTTCCCGATATTTAAATTAGTCATCACTAATTATTTGTTTTTTTTCAGGTGATATAACCACGAAGTGTATTCTCCGAAGTCCATTTCACGAAGATTGTTCCTTCATTTACACATACGCACCCTTGGAAAGCCAAAATGTCGCAAGTGACTGAAATCATGGAGAAGAAGGATGTTTTAAAAGGGAAACCGACTCTCGTCAGACGAGTTTCCGACATGTTCAAGGGTAAACAATTAAAACTTTACACTCTCGTTATCTTCTTCTGTTTATAAAAATCTATTTGTTAAAATTGCCTCTGCCTTTATTTATGCAGCGCAAAAGTATTCGTTATCAAATAATTAAAGAAGCTCGATTATTTTCTAAACCGGAGATTTAGCCAATCAATATCTCGACGAGCTTATCGCAAAAATTTTATATATACAATCGGAATATTATGCAATAAAGTTGTTTTCTAAATTAGCCGTTGTTCTAAGTTGGAGATATATTCGGCCAACTAATATATCTCGGCGAGCTTATCGCGAAAATTGCATATGTATTCGAAGTATCGTAATAAAGCTGTTTTTCAGCGAATGATTGTAAATGCGTAACGCCGCGCTGATTAAGTATTTTTCTCTCTCCCTCGACAGATGGAAACTATAGCGGACCGCCGATGCTGTTCCGACACACGTCAATGCAAAAGATCCGCCATTGTTGTCAGAATCTTAATCTGCTACCGTATCTCCTCTACTCCTTCGACAACTCTAAGTCGCATCCGCTGGCGCGCAAGATGCATGTCTACCTCAACCGTTTTCTTCAGGAGATGACCCTCACCCTCATCCCTTACGAAAAGCTCCGTCAGGCGGCGAAGAGCGGATTAAGCGCCAAGAGTCCGATCGTCGCGCAAGAAACGATCGCGGAACCGAGCGATGACCTCGCCAAGCCTGCTGCGAGGTTCTGCAGGCTTGAGAAGCCGAAACGCAAGCCGCATCCCTTCTACCTGGTCGCGGCCGCCTACCTCGTGCCGCTGCTGCTGATCTGCCAGGTGATAACCCTGTGCAGCCTGACGATCTTCGGCAAGTACACTCCGGGCTTCATCTTCCTGATCACCGCGCTGCTCTTCCTCGGCGGTATCGCGCTCAAGATACTGTTACACGAGACCGTGCTGCACGCCGACAAAAAGTGCGAAAGGAAGAAGATCCAATGATCCGTCATCCGTTGCCGTTTCATAAATAAGTGGTTCCACATTCTTCCAAACTGAGAGAGAATTCTTACATTTCGTCACGCAACTCAGCACATTTGCCGAACGTTTACATGTATCAGATATTACCATTTATGTGCTAATTATGTTAACGCGTTTGACGAAACCTTAGCCTCTTTCATTTATCTATAGTTTCTTTAGAAATGTTCTCATAACGTTTCCAATCGTCGCTTCATATATATATATTCCTATTTTTATCTTCTTTTACATTGTCAGAATACGTAAAATGCGAAGGACGTTTTTAAGCTAAGTACAATAACGCCTTTAGGCAAAGGCATAATTTTAATTGTTCTCAAGCATAATCTCGGAGGGCTGCTTGCACTCCTCGATTTCTAACGAAGCTAGCGACGTGAGTCCTCTGCAGCATAAGACTGAGAATTGTTTTTTAACGTTTTGTAAATAAATGTGCGAATAAGATGTACAATGGAGAGTAAGATTGTTGAATTGTTTGTTCTATTCCGGCAAGGAATGATGAAAGATATATATATATATTATATTATATATATGGGAGCTTGAAATATGTCCATTGAAAGTTTGTTCGATCTGTGATGGAGTGGGTTACAAGTGATATCCCACAGGCACTAGCAATATCGTTTATTGTTATATCCGCGATAAGAATTTATTATGTGTAGATACGATTTCTAAAAATACACGCCTTGAACGAGCGCACGCTTATGGATATTGTTTTCCACCAAAGATAAAATTGATAATGCGTTTATTGTTTTTTTACAGGCTTATTTATTATGCGATTAACGCCGGCAAGATTAGACTGCCGCATAAGACGATCGCGGTTAGAATGTGACGCAATATTCCCGAGTTGGGAATATTGTCGTCGTAATCGCCGATATTCGCGGCGTACGCGATGACATGCGCCACGTAGTTTTGCTCGTGCACACTGTGAAAGAGATGCGCATACGGTCCTGCAAAAAAAACAATAGGATCAAGATTTTCTCGCTCGCGACGTCTTTCTTTCCTGAAAATTCTACGGCTGGCGATTTTGCGAGAAAACGAGCTCAACGAGCCTTTCGAGAGCGAAGCCTTCCGACTGTAATCTTATAGTTATCACTTTGCAATATCTAATTAGAGACACGACTGACATACCTATCGCGTACACAGCTACGTCACCGCCGCCGTGGTGAGCCTCGTCCGATATAATCGTAGCTTGCTGACTGTAGCTGAAATCGCTGGTGTTTGATTCGGAAGGATCGTTTCGCATGGCTTTTCCATCGGCGCTTACAGTGTAAGCGACGCTATTCGGCCCGCCTGTGCTGTAGGACAGCGTCGTATACGGTATCCCGTCGTGTTTGGATTTCTGAGCGATCCCTGCAATACAGTCGCGTAAAAACGAAGGAACTCGAGAGTCTCGCGACGCCGATTCTTACCCAGAATGGACGCGCCTCGGGCGCTGTAGCCGTTGATGCTCATCGAATGCGTGTGATCGCTGGTGACTATCACGAGAGTGTCGTCGGTGTTGACCATTCGAAGAGTGGCGTTGACGGCGTCCGAGAATCGAACGGTCTCGAGCAGTGCTTGAGCGGCGTGACCGCGATGATGAGCGTAGTCGATCATGCCGCCTTCGACCTGCAAGATTTTCCAGTCAAGCGATTTCGCTGGTGGAGCGCAAACGCGAACCGGGATCTGTATACCATCAGGAAGTATCCCTGCGTGGACCTTTGCAGGACTCGCAAGGCCGTCACGGTCATTTCTTCCAGGCTCGGTTGACCTTTCGGACCTCGCTCACGTTCCCAGTCCATCGCGATGTGGCCGTTAGCGAAGATGCCGAGCAAGTAATCCACGCTGTCGGCATCGACGCGCGACAACTCGTCGTTATTCTGAATCACGCTGTACGCCAAGTTTCTACGGGACTTATCTTTTATCCAGTCATCGATGAGATCGCGACCGTCCTTCCGGTAGCAGGCCCACCTGTCTATTGAGTCGAACTCGCCCGCGCTTACATTGGACTTCATCACTTGCCTGCCGCCGCCCATAATCACCTGTTAAAACGATCAACGCGTCAATCGTCTCGAAATTGTCGCGCAAAATGTGTTTGAATCACTCTCTATTTACCCGGATGTTCCTCCCGGGTTCATCCTCCACTAATTGTCTGGCGATATCTTTGCAGGCAGCGGCGCTTCTCGGCATTTTTGACTCACATTCCCATCTGCGATCCGCGCAGTGCGCATAAAGCGGTGCTGGAGTTGCATGCGTCACTCTGGTATTCGTCACAAAACCTGTAGTTATATATTTTTTTTTGGCAAATTATGGAATTGTGTATCAGTAGCTAACGTAGAAAGTCTGATTTCTCTGGAATATCCAGGATGACGGAATTTTATTTCTATCCTCAAATGTTTTCTAGAAAAGTTGATTGTAATTTTTTAATTAATGTACACATATATTTTATAGAAACCATGATAGCGAAGGCAAAAATAAATTGAAAATATATTATAGATATTTGTTCATTATATATGTGTTTTTTTGTGGTAATCAAACTTTCTGGCATCAGACTGCAATTGAACCAGACCTGTAGCTTTGCCGGCCGCTTGAGCCCATGCTATAAATGAATCTACATGATAGTTCTCGTTCAAGCTCGCCTCGCAATCCCCCAATTCCACGTTCGCGTCTACTCCCACGACCTCATAGTTCGTCTTGACTCCTCCGAAGAGAGCGGTGGCGGTGGACGCCGAGTCCGGCACTTGCTTGTTCGTGTTGTAAGTCTAGATTACCAGCGAAAGATACATTCGAACACGAGGATTTGATATAAAACACGATAGTCATTAAAACCTGAGTCACGAGTCTAATGAAAATCTCATTAAGACGACCTTCAGTATCCCGATATGGGGAAAATGCTCCCAGGCGAGCCGACTGGTCTCGCCACCATGGTAAATTCTGCTGGCCGTTATGGTATCCGGACTCATCCCATCCCCTACGAAAAGAATCACGTTCTTCGCTTTTTTCACGTTCCAGCGGTACGAGAGAGATTCTTCCAGTTCTTTGTTGGCCTGTTTGCGCCAGTGCCAACTGTCTGCGTTAAAAACCACGTTTTCCTTATTTGTACAAATTATTATTTAATTCAGTTACCATTTGTACATATGTGATAACCGGTTTAAAACCAGTTTAAAAAGATTACCTTATCAGAAAAGTTTGACATTTTTATAAATAAAGAGAAAAAATCGATTTCTTAAAAATTTCATCTTTAATAAAAGATACGTTCGTTTTTACTATCGATTATTTAAAAGTTTCGCGTGGCATGCGATTTGGTTTTGTGTCCTTCAAAATATACATTATGATTGGAAATCATAAAATTTCATGAATTATGCAATTCTTGTAATCTCTTATACGTGACGATTACACATATTGATGCAAAAATTCTAATTATAATTTACTCTTAAATACCTTCGATTGCAGTTAAGAACTGGACACAGCATACGAGAAAGTAGACGACAAAACACTTCATATCTTCTTTTAGTGACAAACTTTTACTCTAATAAATCTAATACGTGGAAAGAACATGGAAAGGAAGCGTGCACGTTGGACCGAAGATCTGTGAATACGTCCTCTGTTGAAGCATAGAATGCATCACGACGACAGAAATAATCTCGAACGATAACGAGAGATTCTCCCAACGCGAACTCACGTTAGAAGACATCGAGTACGCAGTGAAGAAACGTCCGTTCGTGCGAATTCAAATCGACATACGGTAATTCAGCATGAATGTACCTATGTATGCTCATTGTCGCACAGTGATATGAATCATTTCTTAGGGACGAAAAAAGGTTGAAAATGAGAAATTAATTCCAATTCAGCTAACATTTATCGTAACGTTTTATTTGATTTGTTGTTTATATTCATTATCTGTTCTTACAGATCGCAACACATCGCATAATACAATCTTTTTTATAAGTTTCGCTTCACCTTTCCCTTTTCTCTTCGTCTGTTTTAGTCTTTGAACAAAACTACTAAAAATAGACTCGATAAAATCAACCGCTCAAGCCATTTTTATATCTCTCGTCTTATTTGTCAAGCGCGAGTCGATGAGATCCGAGATGCAGTCGAAGATATATTGTATAGATTCGAGAAGAGGAAAGAGGGCGTCACAGCCCTTTGAAAAATTTCTAAGAAGCTCGTAGTGGATGAACCGAAACGCTACTCGTCCTCTAGCTGTTAGCACTTATCTGCTACGATATAAACATCCCGTGATTAATATTAGTGTCAAGTTTGTCGTCTTTCAACGCGCTTCGAATATAACGAGTATCCGGGCGAGCGTCGATTGAGGAGCGTGAGAGATTATCTCTGTGTTGCGACTGCGGACCGCGCGCGTCCAATGTCCACGGCACGTTCGGCCATGGATGATTTTTGATTTTATGCAACTCGCGCTCCTTAATTACGCCCACAGTTTCTTTTTTTTTCAGATCGTACAATGCCTTGTTTCGAAAGAAAATTACTGTGAAGAGATTTTAGGAAGAGAAACGAAACACGGCAACGCTAGCTTTCGAACGGAAGGCAATATTTAGCTTCACCTACTTTCAGCTGACGCAAAAATTTTTAATATCCTTTCTTTCTTCGGATAAAAAGACAGAACGTGGGATTTCGGAGTCGTTACGCGAGCATTACGTTGAAACTCGAAACGACAATTGCACCTAGTCCTTTCTTTTGCAGGACGCGAATCGCCGTGTCGATATGCCGGCCTAATATAAACTGCCTACAAATTTTCTGCCTTATATAATAAAGTACAATAAAATCGTTCTCGTTACGTCTAACCGTGATATACGCGTTTCGCACTATCACACAGACAAGACACGATCGTCTCCCTCTTCTTCTACACACATTTTTCTCCTCCTTAAACCGAAGATTATTGCCAACGATTACGCTATCTTGTCTTTTCTGCATTTTTGTTTCTTTTTTTTTTTTTTGCTTTTTTATTGTTAATCCTCAACTATTGTGATGAATCAAAATATATTTTCAGCGCAGATGTCTCATTACATATTAGCAGAAATGCGCAATTTGCTTTTAACTTGTTTTCTTTTTTTTATATAATTTTAATTTATGTTTTTATAATTTGTCGAATATAGCTATTCTATTCCGTGCATCATTATATCAAATAATGAAAAATAGAATTGATATTGCTCTTTATCGTATCGCAAGTATTACCATTTATTTATTGAAAAGATTAAATTGCTGAGAGAATTTAGTTTGCGAAATTCAATCATAATAGTTGAAAGTCCGTTGCAAGGATTAACAAATCGACTGTGTCGAAGAGATTCGCGCCTCGCGCGAGACCCGTTCGACGAGAACTCTTGTATTTCGCTCCCGCGCTCTTTTTATCCCGATATAATCTTGTCGCGGACGTAGGCATTTCCCGTTGGCGTGACTTAGAGAAATCAGATCGTATCGATTTTTGCAAATGCGATGGTCGCCGTCTGACGGGAGCCGTCGTGAATACTCGCTGATCATCATCCGCGCGCGGATTTATTAACGTCGCGTGTATATGGTGTGCTCGATAAATTGACATGACGATGGCGAGAAAATCGTGCTTCTTCGCCGCGTTCCCGCATTCTAGACGCACGCTAATTGCGATTTGCATCTACAGCTTCCTCCGCTTCCAGCGGGATTCGAGAAAGTCTCGCGCTCGCATGTGCCGTAAGGAAAGTTTCCTAGATCCTAAATGCTTAATGATTTCTCACGATGACGATCCTCGAGCGTATCGCAATTTTCAAAAACTTCTTGCATCCGCCTCTTCGATATTTACGCAGAATATTTTTGCTGAGTCCAGAAACATTTCTTTTTTTTTTTCTAAAAATTATGTTTCTCAATATAAAAACGAGAAATTCAATTATAGAATATAGATTACCTTCTTCCACAATTTTCCAATTCTCATCTGCAAAAGTTTTCGTACTCGTCTTGAGCCTCCGCGAGTCTGTTCATGAATCAATCGAGGATCCACATCGATCAATGCGCTTATTTTGATTGTTGAATGTGCCGTCGGACTCGTCACAATTGGGCTCGATGCAACGGATACAATAATTGACGGTTAACGTTACATGCTAATTAATAGCGTTGTCGTATTAACCTCATTGTCGCTTGTGATTATATCTTGTAATTACTTTATTCTGCCGGCATTCACCGTAGACAAACAGAAATTGGGTCGTTTTGTAGCGGCATAATGCGGTTTACACGAGAACGCTAATTAAAATCGACTAATTACTACTGATATGTGCACGCTCGCTTTTAGTATACGCTTAAAATCCAATTCTTCTCGAATGCTGCAGCATTCGTGTTTTCGGTAACGCTGATGCCTTACTTTGATCATGTTTACTAGGTTTCCAAATCGTCGAACCATACCGTGAATGTCTTATCTTACTATAAATAAAAAATTTGATATTTAATTTTGTTTTTTACACAACGATAAATGTTCAAGATTCTTGAATAAATTGTATACTTTGCTCTCCGAACTGTCGCATATAATTTAAATGTTTGATTTCAACTTTAGGAACTGAGCTTTCATGCAGGTATGGTTCGCGATTCTTCACGATTCTACTATATTTTGTATCGTAGCTTATTAAAATACCGTCCGATGTTTGATTATCTTTCGTTCATGTTAAAACTGTGCATCGAGCTCGATCTCACAGAGCGAGGTAACGAAAGGACAAGAAATGGCATTTGAGACTTTCTCACCCGTTCTACTATCATAACGCGACAGCTCGTAATAGCACGTGGCTGCCGAAAGATTTCACGCTCGCCTGCGGTTTTCTTTCGGTTACAAAAAAAGTATTGTCATTATTATCAAACCGTCATTGCTATTAAATGCACTGCTGAAAATAACATTGGGTTTCCTTGCCGACAAGGTTGTCGTCTATCTAGCTGGTAGATTTTCGCGTCGAACTACTTTCCTACTCAATGTTCCTTTTGATATCGAGACTTGCAGTTATTCTTGATGCGCAGACTTGGTAAAAAAATTGCTTTTGATTTTTCAGCTGCTTACGGGAGACTCGCAAGGCGATAGACAATCGAGATCCGGATGTATATGTATTATTGTATCTGTGTGTGTATATATGTATGTATGTGTGTGTGTGTGTGTGTGTCGCGACGACACAGGGGTTTTCGTCGTTAAAGCTATCAGCGCGTAAATCTCATGTAACTTGCATCCTTAAATCTGTACGAGAAATCTACTGAACGTCGTAGAGTATAGAGATTTCATAATTAATTGCTTGATTAGTTTAGATAATAATCGCCCGTGTATTGCCGAGCGAGAAAGGTTCGAACCGAAGGATAATCGTTAACAAGAGTTTCTACGAGCCTACAAATTCACGAACAGTAACGAGACACGCGCTGCGTTTTCAAAAATTTCTGCTCTCTGCCTATTTTTATAATATATAATATATATATTTATAAATGTATATTGTACTATATAAGACTATCTCGTTATTAGGTATATCCTTTCGCGTTTTAACAAATCGATCTTATTAGGCTATCCTCGTACGCGACTCGTGTACGACTTTGCTCGCGGCACGAAAGTCCTTCACGTCCGTTCGTGAAATTCTCTGCGGGTGTATTTACAACATACGAGATGATAATGGGGGATATTTGATGTGTAGTGCAAAGTAGAAAGCAGAGAAAAATGCTTGCGTCTCTTTTTCGTCGATTTAATAAGTGAAATTTGGAAAGGAGAAGGTGCTATAAATTAGAGTTCTAAATTTTTATACTTCTGCATTGAGCCTTTTTTAGCTAAAAGTTAATTTTTCTTATACATTAGAATATTGTTGAAAAGTGTGTCGATTCGTGCAATTCTTTTTTACTGGATTATTAGTAAAATAGAAAAATTATATTTATATTCTGCAAGCACTTTGCTCCGCGCGATTCTCTACTGAAATGATATGAGATGGTAAAGTAGGATAAGGATAAAAAGGATCGAGAGTCGAATATTTTTTTATGTCGTAGGCGAGGACACGATGACTAGTTTAAATTGACTGGAGGAACAGGATTATCGATTATCTCGAATTGGCGGTCGGCGATTAAATGTCACGATAAAGATGCTTGTCGCACAAATGAATTAATTGTGAATTGATTACACTTTGCGATGATTGTTCGTATAACTGATAGAGATCACGTTTGCGCGTCTTTTCTTTTTTTATTAAGTCTAAAATGTTATCACGTTTGACTGCTTCAAAATCTTTGGCAGGGTGGTTTAAATAAATTTCAGAAAATGAGATAGATGGTTTCGGAGTGAAAAAAAATCGCGCGATGATTAAGATGTCGAAATAATTCGTTTGGATTCTAGATTGTAGCGCTATGCTCGAGTTTTCCTATCGATAATAGTATTAGTCCGCGATAACTCGATATGACGGGTTACTAAGTTTGGCCGCTTCTAGATTTTTTTTTTTTTAGGTATACTTCTCCTCACCGCCCCTCTCACGAGCCTACGTTTTAAAATGACGAACAGTTCGGGATGAGTTACGAAGAGCTATTCGAGACGTTTAATTATTAAAGCTCCATTCAAACAACGAACGAGCCATGAATATGCCGGCGCAAGAGAGAAGAGTCGGATTTATTAATACCAACAAGATCGCTATAATTGCGCCGAGTGTTCGCTTCTCACAAAACCGCTCTCGTGCTAGGCCATGTTCATTAGTCGATAGCTGGCTGTTGGAATTTTCAAGAGACACGAGAGCGACATCCTTTGCGGAGTGCCGTTATTCTTGCAATTACACGAACGTCCGTAACTCATCCCGTACGTGATATCGATCCCCCGCCGGGTACAGAATACTGGGAATCCCCATCAGTCTCGAGGACCCTTCAGGACACCTGTACCGCAAACGATCGATCCCTCGATACTCATATTGAGATCCTTTCAGACTCCTACTTCTCGTCCCTCAGGAGGGCTTCCTCGGCTTCCTTCCGCCGCGCCTTCGCCTCCTTCTTCGCTCGCTTCTTCTCTTCCTTCGCCAGCTTCTTCGCTTCCTTCTGCCTGGTCTTCTCCGCCTTCTCCTCCTCCTTCTGCCGCGCCTTCTCCGCCTTCTCGCGTTCCTTCTCCCGTTCCTTCTCCTTCTTCGACTTCTGCACCTCCTGGACCACCGACATCTTCGGCGCCGTCGCCGATCGCTTCGAGGCGGCGCGGCCGCACGACGACGCCGACGACGACGACGTCGACGTTGTCACGCCGGGCGCGCTTCTCGGGCTCGGCGACGTTTCCAGCTGCGTCACGATTTTTTGAGCACATCTGCGAACGCGCCAATACGCGTCAATACGAGTCCGTTTATCGACGAGTTTCTAGATTGCAGATTTGCTAAACAAAATTGAAACTCCTGAAGGTACCTGATTCTAGTGGAGGCTTTGCCCGCACGATAGTCTCTCTGGAATTCCTTGATCGGCGGTAATCGGCGCTCCCGGCTCTCCCGCATCATATCCTCTTCCTCGGTGACTTGCTGAATCGGATCCTGATACTCCTATTAATTTTTACAAACAATTGCGCGTGTATCCGCCGGCTTGGAGAAAATTTACGATACTCCAGTTATAATAATGTCATTTTACGTAGCGTGTAACACGACATGCAAAATGCAACTTCACATAAAGTATCATGACAGATCGCTAACCTGAATCCGCATTTTCATCGATTGCGTTTGCGAGCGTCTTAGGGTTGCGCCCGTGGGTTGCCGTAACCTCGTGGGTTTGCCGAGCGAGGAGCTTCCTGTGCTATTCGCGGACGAGGAAGTTGCCGAAGAGACGGAAGACACTCCTACGTGAGCGAATCAGATTCGAAACTTGGTCGTGAAGCGTACTTAAACGGCAGTTTAAAGTAGATTGTATGCAGCAATTTACGAACCAGAGATGGAGGACGAACCACTGGCCATCGAGTATAGAGAGGCAGAGGCTGGTACGCTTCCGGCTCCCCATCTGCCACCCGGCCCGGAAACGCCGGCGGTAACGCCCGTACCCATGTTGTATTCCGATGCGCTTTGCGGGAGTACCCAGGATTTACCCGACATCGAATACTGTAAGCCAAAACAATCTCACAGTGCATAATCGACACAGATTTCTCCACGCGAAATCTAGGGATCTGCAATGATTGGCATTTAATGCGTAATTGCCGAGATGAAGAATTTCAATAGAATTAAAGTAATAAATAAATGGAGAGAAAAAAAAATCTTAAATCTTAAATAAATGAAAGCAATAAAAAGCATGGTTTTGTGTCAAAGCAACCGAGTTACACTTTTGCGCGTGTAATTAATTTTATATTTAGCAAACACTAACGTTAAGCAATTTTGATCGTGAGTAATTGCGCGCTAAACGGAACACGCGCACAGGTGCGCGGACGAGTGGCATTTGAAAAGGAACGCGGCGCGATATTTTGGGCAATTTCGATCGGTGAAAACCGTCTTTGAGTCTTACAGAGTGCATCGTATCACACTGTAGCCGAATTGACTGCAAAGGCAACCAAAGGCTTTGAGAATCCGCTCCAATTAGCAGCAATTCCGCCGCTGTTGCAATCACGTCAGCGAATTTTATTGACGTATTTGTATGAAACGCGGATGCCGAAGGGCGGCGAGAGAGAGAGAGAGAGAGACGTGAAACAAATTTTTAAAGCGAACGGAAGATATAAATGAGAAAAGGGATAACTGACGCGCGGATAAATATGACACATCGATGATCAGACGCGCAATTGTCACTTACATCACGCGGAATGAGGGTCTGTTTCAGCCGTAGAATTTTCGCTCTGCATATAACGCATCTCAGCGGCAAGAGCCTCTGAGACACCGCCATTTGTATCGTCTTGACGAAACAGCGTCTGCAAAAACGGAGACGGAGACGAAGTTAACGTAACGAGCGCCGAGACGTTATAATTAAACGTACAGTTTCCTTTTAATATGTAAAATACGTCACGGCGCTGCGGCACTAAAGTGAAAAATAATTACTCTGAGAGTTTTCAACTTAAGGAATTACGGTGTACAGTTAGAATATAGAGGAGCGCGTAAAACCAGTTTTACCTCAAGCTGTTCTTTTTAAGCTCACCTGCAGACTACTCGATGCCCACACGGCGCCGTTTGCATCGTCGCTCTCGCGTTTACACATATGACGCACTGAAAAAAATAACGAAGCGTGTTGAACGCGTGCGGTAATATTGAGCGGAGCCTGATTGGTAATCGCACGGATAATGCCGGATATCGACCAGTCGGGGGAAAAAGTCAATGGAGAGCAAAAAGGAGAGATTGCAGTCGCTTTTGTGCGATGTTCATCGCGGGACGGGGCTCTTCTTTTTATTTGCATAGTTCTTACGCGCCTGCTCGTGTAACGTCATTAAATCGCGGGATGCGCGATATATAAAATGTCGTTGTTTAGCGATCCCGGCGGTCGCGATTGGCCACCGTAATCGATGTAACGTAATTAGGCGTCACTTTAATCGAAATATTAATAGCTCGTGCAGAGAGGGTGGGCGAACACGTCAGGAGTCGAAGGGTTGCGACCGCCACTTTGTCGTCGTTGTTAATCGACTTTTGCGACCGATTGGGCGGCCAATTCGTTCGGAAATTGCGACTCTTCCGGACGACTGGTCATATTTTGCGCAATATAGGTGCTTCGTTATCATCATTTTCTTTATCATTCATCCCAATCTAGTGCAACGCAACGAGACGGAAAGACATGCGGTATCCTTAACATGGGCATAATTAGTAGAATAGAAACTTATAATTAAAGTAATCAGAACTCTACAATTTGTAATAACCTTATTAGTATATAATTTATTGGATTTAATAATCCATAAAATGTTTAACAAGGAAAGCGCATATTTTTGTTATTTTTAATTCATTAGCTTCATTGGCGTTTTTTAAGAAAATAATTATGAAAATGCCAGCGAAAGGAATCATTTCAGCGCGCAATATAATTTCCCTTGCAACTCAATTTCCATTAAGCTTCTTTCATTGACTAATTCCGATTTATGCTAACGTAGGCGTGGAGACTTTTTAATTCGCGATCCTGCGTAGTCAGCGGAGGGATATGCGTTTTATTTCATTTCGCCAGTTTCATTTTCTCTTCACGTTTATTCGGAGGGGTGATTTTATTCGGCCAATTATTGAGATTGTTTGTCGACGAAATTACAAATTAGGCTTGATTGTGCGTCGCGCACACAATAGCATCAGGCAGTGACGTCAATTTTAAAGAAGAGCTTAAAGAGGAAAGAGTAGGATTAGCAGGAAGACTAACGGAGACCGTATCGAACAGATGCTGAAATAGCGGAAATAGTTAGTCTTTTTGGATGATTAGATCCGCGTCACAAGTTTCAAGTAATCGTCAGAAAGAGAAATTTCGCGACTCGATTATATTTCGTCATTTCGAAACGGTCGATTAGTCGGTTTACAACGCTTGTAAGCATTGCTCTGAACAAATTTACGTCCTTACTTTCGTCACTTTCGATTCGTTTCTTACCTCATCCTCCTGCGAAGACGCCAACTCCGGCTCATTTTCCTCCAATTTCGTCAGCAACTTGTCCTAAAACAGGAGAAAAATATTTTTCCATCAAGGCAAGCACGTAGATAGAATTATTATTATCAATTTCTTTTACGAAAGATTATTCAGACACGTCTCGTTAAGCGAGAAAAAAATCGCACGCCATTGAATAAAAATAATTATTTCTTACATAAGAAATAAGAATTTATTCTCGATTCGGCGACGTGTAAAATTCTAGCGTGTTCGCACCGAATTAGTGCCGGGGAAGCGGAGCAATTAAAATAATTCTGTAACGTACAAATTCTTACGTATGTAATCTATTGTCGGTCAGTATTATGAAAAGAGGAGAAAAGTAGATCGTGACGCCCATGTTGCGTTCGCACGCAGGGAAGATGACGGGAGCTCTACAAAACGATCGGCTAGCGCTGATTCCCGGCAGTTTCCTCTCGAATCTAGCGTAAAGCGATACTGTTAAGGATTACGGTGCAGTGCGTCATCAGAGACGTTGCAGTGCTCGGCAATGACGCTCCCATCTCTTCTTGTGCCTATGCTCTGTAATATGTATATTTTTCGAAGAGGTAAATTTGCGCGATCGTGCAAGAAATCGCTTGATAATTCGCGAGTGCCAGTTGGTTTTCCTAAAGCGTCATAAATCATAAAACGTATACGTTAGCGTATCGATTCGCTGTGCGCGGTAATTATGTTTCATATCCTCGTGCGTTAATGTTTTGTTAATATTTAGTAATATATAATTTATAGTTTAATTATTACCGAAACATGGTACGCTTCTATTAAAAGGAGATATACAAATAATATTCGCGAATTGTAGTGTCACGTGTATGTTACACGTAATTATTTATATATGTATAGGCTAATATTTAACATAGTGGGAAATTTGATTAGCGCTGGTAATCATCAGCGGGTCAAAACTAAATCATGCAACTCGCCTGAATTTCCCATGCAGTCAGCGCGCGTGATTGTGCTAAGTGTAATTCCGTTTCATTAATAACAAGGCAACGTCACGTAAGGCAGCGTGATTTACGTTAACGACGTCAAGAATAAGACTTCTAACACAGGGAAATAACTGGACTTTGGTGGCAATTTACGCTGATAAATGATTCGTTAAACATGAAAGGAATTTGGTAAGCATGTCGGTGCAAAATAGTAACAAGAGCGGTTGTTTTCGGAAGCAAAATTATCGATTGTGTTGAATCTTTTACAACTTTGTTTTTGACCGACTCACATTTTTCTTCTTTCATACAAAGTGGCGTACGATATCGCAATCGAAAGTAGCGACACGCATCGCTTCCGATCGAATCGGAACGTAAACCCGCTAAAACGCATTGATACGATTTGAAATGAGGTAATCGGGACACGTAATGCATCCTGCGTGAAAAATGCTTTAATAAACACGACACGCCATGAGCTTTCCACCGTGGAATTCTGGCACGGCCCTTTTTTTCATAACGCTATCACAAATCGTCCGACGTAATCAGTGCAAGAATTGGGAACTCGCACACTGCTTTCACGTACAATAAAATCGCCACTGACGAGCGGATGCAGCCTGCTTAAACCAGATGCAATTTAATTTAATTTATTGCAAAATTCTATTCGCTTGTAAAAACACGTGAAGTTCACTGAACTCCGGACACGAAGCAGCATAATTGTACAAAGTAGCACGAGCATTTGAAAAGGCTCTTCTTCCTGTAATTGTCACGTTGAAAAATACTGTAATTTTTGCGTGCAATGACACCGCAAGCATTGCCGGTGTTCCGAGAACCGCGCCGCGGACGTAAAAAATGCGCTTCAGCTGCCTCGTCATCAAATTGGTGCAAATCACGGCAAGCATTATTGCACAGTAATGCCAATTGTGGCAATAATAAAACAAGAATTGACGGTTCAGTATAACGGTTGTGTGCAAGATTTCATCTCTTTGTATTATTCCCGTTCGCTCGGCTCCTCTCACCTACTAACCTGTTAGAAAAGATAGCGTTTCTTCGTTCACAAATTTGCAAGAGCAGACGTTCGTTAGGCCTGCGCTGATATAATCTGCTATTGTTCTCGCAGCGAAATAAGCGAGCGGCGAAAGTGTATAAAACCGCGACCTATTTTTCTCGAGAGGCCACTCACGAATTAATTATCCCGTTACGCAATCATAAGTCTTCGCGGCCTGAAATGTAAATTGTGCTTGGAGACTTTCGATCGTAAACATTTTTCCTGCCTTTATTGTTTAAGCACACCTCTGTATATTACAGGTTTGCGTTATCGCGCGTTGAATTCTGCTTCCGACAGCGACATGTTGCCCGCCGCGATAACGACGCTTCTATTAGATTTATTTTCGCTTTGCTCTATTTCCGCGACGTGAATGTTTTGAGAGAATACTTTCGGCACGCAATAATTAAAACCCAATACTTGTTTCTATACAAAAAGCCATTTATTCCCCCACGCGCTGCTCGCCAAAGTACACGGCTTAAGGGTTTGCGAGCGAGCGAACTCGACAGCCACTTAACCGCGTACGTTTTCCGTGCGAGCTTAATTGCGACTGAGCACGACATCACGTGCGTTGCCGAAGTAGATGAAACGACGGATTATTCGTACGTTTTCTCGACGTCGCGTCGATACACGCGACCGAACGCGTTCGGATAGGTTCGCTGGTCGAGATGGTCCGTCACGTACGTCCTCGGAATTATCTCACGTGGAAGCCACGGTGGCTGTTACACGACAATTAACCTTCCGGGACACGACTGCTCGATTTGTCAGCAGAATCAACGTTGCAGACCGTTAAAGCGTTAATTTGAACCGAGCGAGGGAATGATCTCCTCGATAAACGTTTCCGTGTTTGTGATTTCCGTCGAAAGAAAAGATATATCTCTTAAATCGTACAAAGATCATAAATTAACGTAGCTTGAAGGAATATGCCCACTCTTTAGATAAATGCAAATATCTTTGCGTGTCCACGAAATCGAGCGTCGAGTTTCCGCGCGGTCGTGTTCCGCATCGAAACATTTTTGCGCGACGAGGGGAAGTAAAGGGATTCTTCGGCAGAGCGGGTATCGTGCACCGTTGATCTCCGTTAGTTGCACAACACGCGACATAACGTGACCATCGTCAGGTTCAATGACGACGACCGCAGCGATTGGTCGAGGCCGGCCGTCGCCGTCGCTCGCATTATGCACCATTTAATAGAACGAACGGAACACATAAAAAACGAGTCAAAATGGCCATTCAAAAAGTGTTGTCATTACCTTCTAATCGAAATGTATTTTTTAAATGTACCTCTTTGCACCTGCGTGAAGATTCCGCCTGTAAATCTGGTGCGATTAGAAAATAAATATGCGGACATGGATTTAGAGTAAATTTCATGTTCAACATTCTTCGACTCGAGATACATAGAGTTCGAAGTTGTTCGAACTGTGGATTTTGTGAAAAGTTTCATTTTCATTTAAAAATTTTTCATTTTATATTAAGATTGTCATTTTATTTTTATTACCAGGAGACACTATACTGCATCTGACTTTACTTCCCACCGGTACGTGTTTCTATTGCTGCCCCATCCAGTTCAATCGGGACATCGAATTTCAATTGTATACCAGGTAGACGTTGCTCATGAATTGGAACTCCCGTCATACAATAACGCACTTCAAACGCTTCAAATATAACCTAATTTTCCTGTTTCAATATCGTCAAGATTGAGAAACTAAGGTATAATTGACCGGAAATATTATTAGCCCCTCAACTCGTGAGGAAGTTATTCGAGTAACTAGTTCTCTAATTAATCGTTAAGTGAAATCTCAGAATTAGTTTCTCATTTTCTTTTTGGAATCTCGCAAAGCGATGAGTCTGCCATCGACCGTATTAAATTTCACAAATTTTGCTCATAGCGACATTTTTCTTGCGTTTCGCATTAACCCACGGCAGGCGGAATCCGACGTATCCAACTCTACTGGATCTCAACGATGTCACAACATTGTGGAGAAGTAACTTCAACGTAAAACACCCGACTGTCGTTTTCATTCACGGATACAGTGACAGCGCTTTAGGGAAAGGTGCCGTCACTGTAAAAAACGGTACGTTTATCACCTTTTTACTTTTTAGCAAATCGAAAGGCGTCGCGTTGTATGCAACGTCGCGCGACGATTAATTAATTGCGATAAAAAGTGTTTATATTTACAAAAGGAAGGCGCGCAAAGCGGAGTGTGTTTGAAAACAAACCTGTTAGCGCGTTTTGGTATGCATGGAAAAAGTTTAATCTTTCCGAAAGCTGCGAAGCTTCGGTGGAAAGTTTTTTACGGTCTCCGAAAAGTGTTTCTAGTGAAACGAATTTTAGTTTATTTCGCCGCACTTCGACGATGACAAATGTGTAAGAGCACTCCTAGCTTTAGACACGTGAAACACGATGTATCCGCTCTGAATACCAAAATAGCTTCTTAGAAGTCACCGTGATGCCTCGTTTTCCTTTTTGCTCGTAAAGTTCGGTGTGAGCGAGTAGGCTGGATCCATTAGTAACTACATGATCCGCGGATACTTCGCCAAACCTCAAGAGATACCCTGTCAGTATGACGAATAGTGAGCGTTAACTTGCTACGATAAATTGCAAACTTTTCCATTCTTCAGCGCGCGTCTTGATCTAATTCAGTTTGCTACGGCACCCTAAGGTATCGTCTTTGTTTACTGGTTTGTTTCTACCCTCCCACCCTCTGTTTAATAATTTCTTGCATTTTCAATTCTTTCGCGGCTGATCGATTCACATTGATTTCATTTGCAATTTTTTCATCAAGCGAAGAATCTAATTAAAAAATTCACCGCAATTTACTTGTGTCCTGTTGTCTTTATTTCAGCCTACCTTCGTCGCACGTCCTGTAACGTTATATTAGTGGACTGGCCGAAACTGACAACGCTACCATGGTACGTAACGGCAGTGAGGAACACCAGAATCATCGGACCACACTTGGCCCGCATGATGAGCTGGCTCGATGCGCAGAAAGCGGTCCCTTTATCGAAAATTCACGTGATCGGCTTCAGCTTGGGCGCGGAGGCCGCCGGCTTTATGGGGAAAGCACTAGCGCCCCGAAAGGTAAGGTAATGTAAGGTCTGCTAATAATGATCGCCGGTCACACCGCATTGCACATTCCCCCGGCTAATCGAAGGCCGCATTATCGGAACCACATTAGCGCCGGCAGTTTCAATCGAGGCGCGATATCGACGCGATCGACAGGCTATATATTAAGGTGGAAACGCGAGCGCTGAACAGTGAAAAACGCGCTTTCAGATAGGCAGAATCACCGGATTGGATCCGGCTTATCCTTTGTACATGGACACCGGGGAGGAGGGCCACCTGTCGTGGGCCGACGCCGCTTTCGTCGATGTCATTCACACCGACGGCGGTCATTTCGGCTTCGCCAATCCGATCGGCCATGCCGATTTTTATCCCAACGGCGGCAGCAGGCGTCAGCCCGGCTGCGATTTGAGAAGCATCTTACGCATGGGTTTTAGAAGAATCATAAATCAATTGAGTGAGTGTTTGTTACGGCGCGCCTCAAGTTCTTACTTTCTCCAAATATTGGAAATTTCGCTTCGCCAAGATATATCGGGGAAAGTGAAATCTATTCCTTTCTTTTTGTTACAACAATTTTACCGACTATCATTGTTCCTTGTTTCCAGTCACCTGCGGACACAATCGAGCTTGGCGCTACTACGCGGAGTCGGTGAACAGTCCGTACGGATTTCCCGCAAGCCGCTGCCCGAGATGGAATCCCGGGATTCGGGCGAACTGCGTGTGGAAACCGGACGCTTACATGGGCTACAAGTGCGACGCGAGATATCGAGGAAAATTCTATTTGAGCACGAATGCGAAACCGCCGTACGCGAGAAATTCGACGCGCCACAGATCCGGCAAATGAGGATCGGTGCGCAACGTTCTTGATTTGGATGAACCACATTGAGAAGCGATTCTTCGTTGACGATCGCTTCCGCCGAGATATTTATCTCGGATAAAGTTTAACGAAGGGAGGATATTTTTGCGACACCATTTCAGATAATGTGTTTGCGATGGAAACGCTTGATACATTTCTGCCGTCTTCAGTATTCTCGATAGCGCGACCAAAGATGGAAGATCCTTACGGTGATAATAAAAGCATTTACCCGCAGGATAAACAAGAGAAGTTCATTATGGAATGCTACGTCGAAAAGCTCGAATTCCAATTCCATCGAGTCGATGAGAAAACAACTCGTGCTGGCCGCTTTTAACGCCAAGCACTGCGATCTCGTGCCAGATAGGGGCGCATTGTTTACAACATTTACCGTTCTCCAGCTCTACCTCTAATTGTCAACGATATACGAGAGCAATAGTCATTTTAGCGCGACTATAGTTTAAGCTTCATAACAGGACGAATACGTGACTGAAACTGCAATAGCGGAACGTGACTTTGCATGAGAATACTTTTGTGTCGTATGCGATAATAAATTCAGATTATAAGAATACGACGAAGTTAATTTGTATCGTTTGTTAATGTCTGCCCGTACATCTTTTATAAGCACGAAAAGTTATACGCAAGTTCCGGCACGTAATTCAATAAATCTGTTGACGTTTATTAGAATTTTGTCTCTATACTTATTAGAAATGGCATATTCTTATGTATGCATCGAGGAAAAAAAAAAAATGTAAAACGTGAATGACGAATAAGAATGCTAATGATCGGAGAACAACCTGCAATTTTCATGCCATTTCCTGCCTTTGAGGTATGTAAATTTCAAGGCCAACTTTATTATTCCTCATTTTACGATTAAATCGATGAGCGAATCTCTGAAAGGCGTGTATTTCGAACGGGAAAGGCATCGTATTAAAACTTGCAAGTAACTTGCAAGTAACAGATGGGAACATGGGGGAATACAAACGAAGAATAATGGCGCGTGCTGGAAGTGGCAAATATTTAAAAAGGCCAGCGGGATCGTTCCAGCCTCGTGCTGCTTTTATTCCGCATCATTCCACGTGGAACGCGAATTGCGAAACGTAGTTATGCTCTATATGGGCTTCCTCGTGTTTTCAATATGACTTTTTTATTTTCTTCAGTTTATGATTAAATTAGCATACGGTGAGTGGGTACTCCGTGCTACGCCCGGCAGTTTTTGCTCATTCCTTATAGATAAACGCAACCTGATTGTCCTCTTACGGAAGTTTGGCTCTGCGATACTCGTTCAACTTTGTGAAACTCATCGGCCGAACTTGAGTTTCGAAACAGCCAAACTGCGCGTCCTCGAAGGAATTTCGTCTTGCCATTTTTAACGCTCGTTAGACTGGAACAACTTTTACTATCCGTTGCTTGAATTAACTTTCACGGAACATCTCACGGAAGACTTCACGAACTAATAAATGAACAAAGACGGCCCTCTTAATTATTACGCGGCATTAAATTCTATCGGTGGTCGTCGTCATAATTTCGTTCTTCGTGAAAATATAGTCCATCGGCGATTTTTGAAAAGTTTCCTCTGTAAACAGCGAAGAGCAGAATTCGCCCAAGTTCGCGAGAAAACAACAACACCAGTTAGACAAACTGCAGACAGAACGGTATAACACATTCAGCGGTCGGAATGCAATTTCAGGATCGATAGGATGATTTATGTAAGGCAGAAAACATTTTCTGACTCATCTTGAAGATAGCATCGTGACCTTTCACGATCGCGCACCGCTGTGCTGTATCGTTCGATTTCACGAACAATAAGTGAATAAAATCAGACGCGCGGAGGCATCGTCGCGCCGTTTCTATTTCCCTTTCGACGGGACGGATTCCCCGCTCACGAGAGCGAGGCATCGGGGGAGCATCGACAGGATCGGAATTCACGATACATCTCGGAATCACGAGCGACATCGGCTCCGTGGGATCTGGCCGGCGGTCAATCAACCCGGCGTGCGCACTGAAAAATTCAATGCGACGGGCAGGTCGATAAGAATCCAATGGCCAGGGTTATAGATGACCCTAGTCTTGAAAGAGCAGCGCTGCGCGGAAAGGCTTAAGGCGGCTTTCGTAGTCCACGCTTCAGCACGTTCGACCGCGTTCGACGCCGGTTCTCTCGAGCAGGCGCTCCCTCGAGTATCGTTACCGGCTATATTCTCTCGCGGTTATACACGTACAGCGCGGCTCCGGGTTTCTGGACACTTCCTTTCATCCACTATCATCGTCGTCAGAGTTCTGGAGACGACATTTCCTCAGCGGACCAGCATTCGACGCCGCCTGCCTTTCAATTTAAATATTTATCAAGTTTAATTTCGCACTTTTCCCTCTTTCCTTTTACAACTAATAAGCCTTTTATTTTCAGGTCTGCAGGACTACGCAAAGGAGTTTCCGCGCTAGACTGTCCGATCGATAAAATCTTTTTCTCAAGATTCGCAGAAACGACCCGCAATTTCTCGAAATTTACGCGGAATCTTCTTCGTCGGCCAAACAAAGATAGAACCGTCTTCCGCGGTTTATCGTCGTTTACATTTGCTGCGCAGATCGATGAAACGAACTTACATCGGCAGTTTCCGCGCCGCTGAAATCGCTGCCGCGCGTATCGACTATTCGATCCTTGCATCGCCGGGTGCATTGTCCTCCGCGGAAATGAGAAACGAAACACGAAACGTACCACCACCACCGCCACCAGCCCGGCGTCGTGGATATCGATCCTTCTTTGTTCTCGTTGCCGAGGTTGCGAACATGTTAGACGCGCGTAACCCCATGGTGGTTACGCGATACGTTTACAATACATACATTTACATAAGATTTTGTCCGGGAAAAAACTTGAACGAAGGAATATCTTCCCTCCATTCTGTCTCTGCTGCTTGTACTTTTTATTCCTTCAACGATCTATCTTGAGCGAAGCTTGCTATATGCAAAGTGTTCCAATGCAATGCAATAGCTTGACCTTTAGTATCAGCGGATAAAATAAAGGCGGCTTTGATAGCGAATAAATTATTCTTGATTAATTTACAGACATCGGTGACTGCGCTAGATCTTCAATCAAGTTATTCTGGTAGAACAAAAAAAATCTCTTTAGAACGCATGCCGACAACGCTACGCAATTAACGTTCTTGCAAATATTCACACCGAGAGTGACGCCTGAGGCATTTAGCGTCTCGTCAACACCTTTTTGCGAGGGACACGAACTACGGTCACATCACGACACACTCTTCCACACTTATTCGCTCGGTGTCTTTCGCAAGGGCGGCTTCGAGACTACGCTTGACGACACCAGACAGTTACGACTGTTGTTCGAAGTTCGTGGGGTGCGCGAGCCTTTACTCGCGCCGTTCGTTCTCTCTCGTTTAATTCATTTTCGTTCCGTTCTAATTCTAAGCTGTCCTATAATGGAACCCGAGTAGGAAAATTGAATCTCCTTTTACCGGCAACCGTAGATAAATGTGAAGCAGCGCTCCGCGTATCCACGTATTTGATAGGACGCTATTTGCGACCCGTCAAAATATTCCGAGAGAACCTCTCCAATCATCGAGATAAATTAGACTTCGAAATTTTGAGAATATCAAGTTAGCGAGAAATGAATTTAGACCGTTCCATCTTTCGCATTTTGAATAATAAAATCCACTTCGGTAATTTAATTATTAATTATAGAATTTCTAAAAGGTACTTACAAAAGAGATTTGAATATTCGACACAACAAATTCTTTTTATTAAGATTTCAGCTTTCTCTTTAATAATGACAGATTAATAGCTTCGTTCTGTTATTCCGGATGGATTCCTTAGATTTCCTTAAGCATGAAATTAAACAAAATGAATAGCTCTTCAATCGTTGTTTCTAATTTTTTGTAATTGTTTTTGTAACGATCTGTTCTCAATAAATATCGCATATATATTAATACCGCAGCAATCTATTCAGTTTTACATGCAAAGATTACATTGAAAGGACGTTCACAAAAAATATTTTTATGAGATTTTAGAGTTACAACGACGAAAAAAAAAATTATTCGAGAGACCTTCTCAAAATTGAAATAACGCTCACGCAATCCGACGGAAGTGGAAGATTGTATCAACCCGCGTATCTAACATTTGCACATTATGGTGGTTCGTGCGGCTCATAATGGTATTATCAACCCCCGACGCCGAACGTTAGGAGAGTCAACGACCAAGCCCTTTAGCGGAGTATTATTTAACTTCACGAACTTCTGATTTAAAACTGATATGCATGCACTTTGTAAAATTACACCAAGCGGTGTAATTTGTGCTTCAAAGATTAGTTTGCAAAAATAAAAATTGGCAACATAAATTATAAAATTATCCCTCTTATGAAGAAACTTTTTTATCAGAATATTTCTTCCGAGTTTATAAAATAAGCATTGTCGGGTAATTCGAAAATCTATGTAAATTAAGGTAAAACAAAATAATGTCCGACGATAAGATGAAAGTTGTAACAAACAACGGCACGATTCGGATCGTTAGCTGGCCGTGGATCGAAAAGTTTATTAGTTCGCCGAGCGACCGACGGCGCCGACGGTTAACCCGCCGAAGGATGGTGAACAATAAGCCTCTGAAATCGCGTGGACGTACACTTACGTGACTCGCAAAAAGCAGCAGACAGGGGCGTAAAACTTTAGTCCGCCGATGGTCGCAAAGTACAACGGCAAACAACCCCGTCGGCTTGTTATTTCCTGCAAATTCAATTACGTTGCTACGAGAGAGAAAATTCTCTCTGTTTCTGCAACTGTTTCGAAGGTACAAATCCCGAGTTTCCAAATTTAATATAAAGGAAAACTGCGATAAAGTGAATACAACGCAAAACAAACGACGCGTGTAATTTAAACGCTCGTCCCATTTTAGGTTATAAACAAAAATACACTCGAGTTTAAATTATCACTAAAGACATTCAATTGTCCTGTTAATTTCTGTTTCGCGACAACACAAAATGAAAATTGTAAGAAATATTGAGTAACAAACAAAAAAAACTATACAAAGTATCGTGCTACTTGAAATATCGTTGGTTCCACGGATAAGATAAGTGGAAACACGAAACTGGTGGCAAACAACGTTGAAACAATATCGAAGTAAAGAAGAGCGCAATATCTGATAATCTCGAGTACTCATCGATTTTTGTCCTTGCCTTTCGCCTATTGTTCGCTGTTGTCGCGACGGCAATAAAGCCACACGGTGGATAAGATCCGCATGCCTGGGCAGGCACGATCGGAATCTTAACGTCGAGTTGGCGTGAGCCTTATCTGGGAAAACGCAAGTCGCTACTTACACCACGCGCCCTCGTCAAGTTTTGCAAGGATCGCAAGGATCGCTGGATTTTTGAGCGACGCGACTCGCACCGCCTGTGCTATTCGTGTGCTTATTGTCAAGGTTGAGGCTGATGGTTTTTCGCTACAGGGACTCCCAAGGCCCCGCAGTTTAGTATCACGCGAGCGCGCGCGCGCGCGCGCGCGATCCGGCTTCGAATAATTTTCCGGGTCGCTTTTCGCCCGCGCTGCTAATGAGGTATCGAGAGCGTCCGGCTTTCTCTCGCGGTCTAGCAGTTCCAGTTTCCGATAGCGCATACCGCGTGACGATAAATCAGCCCGACCTGACGTGAACCGACTGCGAAATTCCGGTTTGCGCGGCACCGCGAGCGCGCGATCCACGGTTATGGAGGCTGCACGCGGTATCCGTGGTATCCGAGTAACGATCCGCCAACCGTGTGTGCAGCTTCTTGGCAGGCTTCCCTAGCGGGGACACTTTTTACTCTCTCCATCTTGCCGCGGCTGCTCCGCCAAGCCCGGCACTGACCTAACAAATTATTCCGACCGGGACGCGCCGCAAGGAACGACCTTGAGAGGATGACTGGAGCGCTGGTGTCGTGACAGCGCCGAACAATTTGTACACGTCGCATAACCGAGATTTAAACTTTATCTAAGTGGAATAAACGCACGAGCGTCGGAGAGCGGCTATTTTATCCAACTGGAGCATCAGGCGGAGAGATCGGCCTTCCGCCACTCATCGCAAACGAGAAATTTTTTTAGCACACGCCATTTCTGATACAGTATCGTGCGCCTTTACATCGCAGTAAGTCCCCCGTCAGCGATCAGCACCTGCTAAGTCGACCGAGGCACGATAGCCCGGGACGGACGGAAATCAATACGGAGTTCAGAGTTTACAGAGTTCCCCCGAGTTTCCATAGACGTAAATTCCGCAGCATCAGCTATCTGCCCGAGTATCGATGGGGACCTGTTATTTAACGCGGCTGCCGGCCGGCATTTCAAAATCTTCGCTCAAAAAGATACGGTTGCTCCTAAATTACGCGACGATAATTCTCTCGCGGTTGTAAAATCGAGACTCTCGTTACTTTTCGCAAGAGAATTCCAACAAGAGAGCCGATGACATTATTTCACGCGAGAAGTTAAAAGGATTCGATGAGCAAGGTATCGAGGTTACGAGACATCATTACGCGATGTGATCTTCCTTTCGTCGCGGGCTAACGAGTATTTCCAGACAATAATAAAGACAAAACGCGCCGGTTAGGAAGGCCACTTAATAAGGATCGCGCGGCGTACAAGAGTGAGCTGTAGTCTTTAGGAGATGATACAGCTTTCTCGACGGGGGATGATCGCGTTACGCGCGGGTAATCGAACCCTTTCACCGCTTCTTCGCGTTCTCTCACGTAGCTGCCGCCTCACCCCGTCTCATCTGCACGTGTTATCGCCAGTTACATCCTCGCGGGGATGTGCAATCTCCCGTTGACGGGAGCCTCGTTTCGCGCGGCTCGATGATCCAATAAGCGACGTACGTCGAACAGCGTAAATCCTTTTGATTTAGAAAGGATAAAATATTTTTTTTTATCAACTCATCGGCCGGTTACTCGAGTCAGGGATCAATATCGGTAGAAATAATGCCTGCCTCCACCGCGTCACGTTTTCGAGTTGCCGTTTATCCTCGGAAACAAAACCAATCCAGTCGCTACGGTGCGCGTGTGTATAATAAATTGCTACTCGAGCCAATAGTAATGTATCACGTTTATTTTCGGCCATCGTTTATCCGCTTTTTTTTTTTCGCTCTTCGATTCCAGATTCGCGCGACCACGGTGCAGCTTGTATTTTCGTCTCCTCGGCGTAAAAATAATACAAACAAGTCTGCGCTCGGTAATAAATAAATATGTACAAATGTATTGTTATCTCAGTCTGACTCAAGGCTGAAGATAAGCTCAAACGTAACATTCAATGACGTAACAACAGGTGGGACGTTTCGATCCTTATCTCGTATATTTCCCGACCTGCCCGACGAGAAAAAAAAGTTCGGACGCAAAAATTCACTCACGATTTTGTGATGAAGATGCTGAAGCTCCCGCTCGGTGACTCTTCTGCGCGAAAGCTCGCGCTGCTCTCGTCTGTACTGGCTGTACTTGTAGAAGAGGTACATCCCAGGTAGGGCCAATACCACCAGGGGTTTCATCAAGCCGGCCCGTCCGCCACCACCGCGAGCACGTGGCTCCGGCGGCTCGTCTAAATCCTCCAGCTGACCCCCTTCGGCAACGGCCGGCACGGCCGCACCAGCTGCTGGCATCCTTCTGCAAAATGACCGAGAAATCTCACTTCAATCTCTTATTACTAAATTGTATAAATTAGAAAGAATATATACAGAAACATTATTATACAAATTTCATTAAAGAAATGTGATTCATAAATTAGATTCGATTGTAAACAACAATAGAGATAAAATTGCACAAAATTGCAGTGAATAATATTTATACAAAATAATAACTTTTTTCCGGTCTGAAGAATTCTCTTTCCCTCTAAATTGACGCGAGATTCAATCTACCAAAATTATACAAGGTGTAAATAACAATTTTTGAGCGAGAGATCGAGTTACACAATATTACGCTACGTTGGATGACGAGATAATGACGAAACTCTTATTCAATTCGGTAATTTTCTCTTCCTCTGAATTACGAAGACTGAAGTATTGTCGCGAAATTTAATCAGCCAACGACAAGGAATCCAATGACCGACACGGCGCAATACAATATACTGCGCCCGACAATATACTCGTCCCGGTGCATTGTGGTTTATTGAGGATATCGAACCACCATGCCAGCTATTCCGCTCATTTGAAGAACATCCGGCGAATCGCATCTAGCTCAATTGCCGTCGTCGACATTCTTTATCTCCGACTTTTCCACCGTAATGCGCATAGATTTTCATTTATACTCCTGACAGTTTTAAAGTGCCGAAATTCTAAAGTATCAATTTGTGCGAAAGTAGTCTCACTCGAAGATACGTGAGATTTCAGTTTTCCGTCGACAAACAAATGGAGAATTTTAGTTTCTGGGAAAGAATAGGCTATTGGTTATTTGTTTCCCATCAAATCTTTCTTTTTTTAATCATTTCTATCGTTGGGCCACTACGAGCCGGTTTTAGTCGCTCATATATTCCAGACACGAACACCCTCCAGTCTGCCCTTTCATTTTTAGGTATTTATAATCCTACCTAATGTCGCGTTATGACATCCACGGGAAAATGGTTTCCTGCCCGCATTCATTCTCAAATCTCGCGGCTTTAATCTCGCAGCTGTCGGAACTATGATTATTTCAGTAATCTCTCATGAGTCCTTGCATTTCTCGATGCAAAGGCTACAGAGAGAAGCAAAGATGACAGATATCTTTGATATTACAAATATTTTTGCGTATTTCTGAAGAGTAATCGAAAAAAATGAAACGGCGTCCTTTGAATCAAATTTTAACGATGGTGGAAAAATCTGTTTGAGCCTCACATATTTGTCACTCGTATTAGACTGATTGCAGTACAAACTGCAATCGCTCGTCAGGCATCTATTATTATTCTACTGGTTATCAAAACCGGATTTTTTGATAACGGGAGCCCCGGTGTCTAAATTAGCTAATGTAACGAAGATGTTTAATCAACAATTGGACGCATGAGAGATACCGAGATACCGATTGACGGATGCGCCGACGGACAGTTCGTGACTTGAATGAAATTTCGTAATCTACTTGCCGGTCATTCAACCGGTCTATATTTAATTCAGGCGTCTACCTGCCGTTCTATTCTTAAACCGGCTGCTCTAGAAATACACGCGGCTCGCTCTATATCGCCATCGCTCGCAGTCGGGTCGTGTACCTTGCCTCGTTGCACTTTGTGCAGGGAGATGCGGCAGGTCACGCGCGCGACATTAGACACTCGCGTTACCTGTGTCGGTGTGATTCCCTGCACTCTACGCGTCGTATATGAGGGATATAAACGACGATAAGGGCGGCAAGTCAGCCTTGCGAGCGACGAGCGTCACATTCGCGAATACGCAATTTCCAAGAATACTTTAGACCGCGAAAAACTGATCGATGCGTTCAACGTTTCAAACGCGGGAGAAAATAAATGTATGCGCCAATCACACATTTATCTATTTTTATACATCTACGTATGCGAATAACTTATTATAAGAATTTTATGCCGCGGATGAGTAAGCGATGATATCAAAGGTGAAGCGTCGAGACTCCATTTATTTTATGACGAGTCCGTCGCAGTCTCAGTATGAAGCATTACTAAATAATGAATGGACAAGCGCGATACGCTCGTACGCCTGGAAGAAACTGATTATTTCGACTTCGATCGTCATGAAATCATCGCAGCTCTCATTATCGTCTCTGGATTACCTTCTCTAAAAATAAGAATTCCCTAATGTGTTCCAAATGTTCTACACGCGCCCATACCGTGCTGGAAATTTATCCAGAGCGCGGTATATACGTTAAAAATTGCGTTCGCCTGTTAAAAGTGATTACCGTTGCAGTTATTTCTGGCGATAGGCGCGTGCAACGATCGATACGTCATAGTCGTCGAACGCGGGAGCGTACTTTTTCGCGCGTTCTCCGCTGTCGTGACAATTTCGACGACGCGCCGAACACGAAACCCGACACACCGAGATGGAAGATCGACCGATGCAGATACGCGATACGTAGGTATGCGCGCACACGTGCTATCGCCATGGGAGGTAATATATTATCGGAAATGAATCGATATATTGACTCGTTGTTTTGCACTTCGCACTCGGCGCCGTGAAAACATACACGACCTGAGGGACTTCACGGCGGTGTGTGACACCGCGTAATTTCGTGAAGGACAAGGTCAGCTGCGAATTTTTTACGGATTTTCTTTCGCGGAAAATTGCGGTGCGAAATATTTTCCCACCGGGAGCTTTGGTCGGCATAGAATCGTATGTTATCGATATTAAATTACTTTGTGATAATTAAAAACAGCTGTTAACGCGCTATTATTATCAGAATATCGTCGTACAATGTAATTATTAATCTTAGCAGCATGCAGAATCATTTCCTTACAGAAGCTTATGATAAAACTTGAATTTCAATTTGCGAATTGGGGTTGGATTATGAGTTACGAGCGGATTAGAGACGACATCGAAAAGTTTGCTTTTAATACCCAAAATTCGCACGGATTACGTGTCAGCCGCACCCCCGAAACCGAGGGCAGCGAGGATGGGAGCAGTTATAAGGTGCAATCGAAATGTGTTCGATGAAAATTATTACGTTGTTAGAACGCGAATTATCGGACCGATCTGATATCACACGTACGTATGCAGTTTGCCTTGACACAGCGTAACGGCGATCGCGCGAGCAAGGACAACCCAACATTGCGGGATAACATCGTTCACGATATTTCTACGGCCAAGTACACGCTTTGTCTGCTATTTTTATGCCTTTTCCACTGTCAAGTTTCGTTCTATTGACTCGCCGCGCTATTAGAATCGATCTGGTGCCTCTTTTTTCGTCTTCGCGCTACTCGACGGGGAAGCTTAACAATGTGACGAATGCCAGCTCTAGCTACAGTGCATCATCAGCCCCGAGGTTCGACGCACAGACATGGCATAAGCTGAAATTGATCATCTGCAAAGTAAAGGGAATAGATGGAAGATGATAACCTAAAGGAGCGTTAAATTTCGACTAATGAAACAAGTAAGTTGATTGTTTTGAACAAGCATACTCCGATGTTGATTGACTCGCGAAACTAGCGTACTACGCGTGCAAGAAACATGTTCCATGAATACACGATGAAAAGTTCTCGGTGATATATCGCGCGTTAAACCCGCTCGACGTAAAATAATGGTCGTCGCGTCCGTAGAAGACGAAGAAAGACTAACAATAAGTTCGGACCACTTAACGCGCTAGTTGTCGCGCCGTACGTCGCGCTGTTTGCCGAGCGATCAGACAAGAAACATCTATCACAGACGCGGTAGGGTGCCCTTGTCGCCGTAATGCCGATTAGACGATCAGTTTTCTGTCAAGTATCAAACAGCGAGCCACGAACGATCATTCTTCGTCCCGCTACAAAAGTCTTGCGTTGATTTCTATCCACAATTTGATTCACGAATGTGTTTCCCGTAATATACGTAATACGTCGCTCGTTTATCAGCAAAAGAAATTTCTATTCGGCCGAGTTTCATTCATCCTCATAGCAGCTTTCCGCCAGTGTGTAACGCCGCATGCGACGAAGTGCGGAAAGACTATGTCTCTCGTCACCTGTCATTGTTCCCGCCAAGGCGACGCGTACTACACAAATCGACCATCGACCATCGCGCGTCGTCTGCCTTCATCGACCCCGCGGACGGGATACATCGGCGGAATAAAATCCCGTTCCGCGGACTCGCTGGGGAAGGAATTTCTCCCCGAAATCGCAATTCGATTCCGCTCCGCGCGCGCGTCATTTTTCCGAGGAAGAAACGACGCGCGTCCGAAATTTCCCACTCCGGCACGTGCGACCGCACACGGGACGCCGACGTCGACGTCCGTACTACGACGATCACACATCGCACTTACGTCGTCCTGTCTCACCCGTCGAAGGCAAGTCGCGATGACAGGAGATGGGAGAAGCGACGGAGCGGAGAGGGTGGCCTGCGACACGAGCCTCCTCCTCGCGCGCTCAGCTCAGCTCAGCTCAGCTCGGCCGTACGACGCATCGCCCGCGCTACTACCCTGCCTGGCGGTATACCGGCGGCTGCACTGGCGCGCCTGCAGCCGAACAACCCTTGCGAGCACACTGCGCTCCGTGCAGACTCGGCTCGCTCGCGCGCCCCCGCGGTTGTTCATGCGCGCCCGGCCGGCGCGTCAGCCGCTTCCGGAGACGTATTCTACCAAGCTCTCGCTCTCGCTCTCTCTCTCTCTC